GTATTAAATAGGGTATTATATACTGTCACTCTTTCCCAATTATTATCTCCTCAACTCTATTATAAATCAAAAAAACAAATCGACAAACGACGCAATAACACAAGTAAATGCTCTCTATTTATTCATAATAAGAGCACTAAACCCGGATTTCCAAAGAGCAGGAAACTACGACCCTCTAACAAAAATAGTCCCAACAGTCCTTAAGTCTGTATTTAAATATATAAATATATACTACATATACATATACTATATATACACAATAAATACCGTTATATATATACAACGCAGATATTATATACATATACAGAAATTATACAACTTCCATACTTTTATATTTATACATCCGTTGTATGTAAATTTTGAAATGAATGTAGTGCACAATGTATAGATTTATCATACATTTTTTTATACGCAAATAGGCACATACTCTGCCTTAAAACTTTATACTGCCTACTTTATAGGACTTGAAAACGGTAAAGTTTTATCTTTGTACTAAGATGGTTTATAGTCCTATCACGATCTTACAGAGACAACTGTATCAGAGTTTGTGGAGGAGGTCTATTAAGAATAAATTTTATAAGGTGTTATATTCTTCTTGTGCATAACTTAGCATACTTTCAATGAGGAATCACATGTCTATTATATTACTTGACTTCATTTTTATGGATAAAATTAAATTATTCGCCATAGAATAGCTTATTTATAAAGGCAATTTCTTTCATTTTCTTCCTTTTGTATTCTAAATAAACAAAATTGCTAAGAAAGAGATAATTCAACTGTTGTTCTCAGTTTCTTTTTTCCTCCTTACAATAGAAATCTTTTCGCTATGTCTGAGATATAGCATGTAGCTTATATGTATACAAATAGATGATTTTATATAGGTTTTAAGGACTATATATCTCTTTTCAGTGTAGAAATTAATTTATTATTGCAAGAATATGAACAAAATTATGAAAAATAAGGAAGAATATATGTATAAAGAGAGAGAGATAGATAGAAAGATACAAGAGCTATATCTCTCCAATATAGGGTTACATTGCTTTGTTAAAAAGAAACTATAAAAGATCTATACTAAACCATGTAAATCTCTGAGAAATAAATATTTATTTACTTATAAATGTCATATTCGATAGAAAAAGAAAACAGTATTTATAGATTTAGAAATATTTCATAGTTTTAATGGTTACTGTTATAGATTTTACACACCATATACTATGATTTGCATATAATATAGGAACATAACTAAATTATCAATCCTCTAGTCTATTATTAGAGATACATTAGACGATTCTATTTAAAAATATCGTTTGCAATTGATCAAATCATCTTAATCTTCTTCGATGCTATTCAGATAAAGATCAATAAAGAATTGAGGACAAAAATTGAGTATATTTCCTAAACAAATTACAAGTTTGCGCTATATAGATTTTCATAATTATAGAGGTCTCTATGTGTCGAGGTTCACAATTGTGCACTTTAAAAATTTCACAACACTGATGCTAAATTTCTGAAGGATACCACACTTTACGGAAATATGAGAAGTTTGCTGAAAGATATATTGTTAGTAGTAGAAATGTGAGAATTTAAGAAATTACTACTCTCTGAATTTATTAATTAATACTTTATTACAATCTCAAAAGAGCATATTCAAGTAATAGCATATATTAAATGTTATTGTATTTCTATTGAAATTCCACCTTATATTTTATAAAGAGAAAAAGAGGTGTGGTTAAAGAATATTAGGGAAATTTATGAACATTTCGTTGTTATTGTAATCCATTGCTAAGTAAAGAATAATAATAAAAGGGAGGGAGAATTTGAGTAATAAGGGGGTGGTAAAGAGATGAAGATCAAAAGAACATTTTTTACTGACGATCCCCTATTGTCATATTTCGTGTATTCAAAATGGGCAAAGCTGAAATAATTTACAAAGGGTAATGTTAATATTTTACAAAATTATGGCCATCTATGCCACCATAAGGAATAGGCTATTGAATAATCTTTAGAGAAGAAAAAAGTACACTTTTGAATGCTTAGTCAATTGAACCCTTTAAAAAGAGTAGTAAAATTGCGAAAAAAGAAATATTGAAAAGTAAAGTCTATGAGGGGTGAATAGGCCAGTTGACAGGTAGGGTGAAAGAGGATCGGTAATGGGGGTAAGAGTATGAACATCCTTCGTTTACAGATTATACAAGGAAAGGGAAAATGTTCCTATGAATAACAAGCATCACTTGCATTAATTTTATCTAAACAGAATGTATGCGGTGACCATTGATTATTAACATCCTTATGATATATACTACACACATACACACATATGCATTCTATATATATATATATATATATTTGAAAGACATACGCATTTTAAATAAATGAATGAATTACATGAATGAATGAATGAATAATAAAATTTCAGGTTTTTTTTTCAAATGGACTTCTCTATATTCGTTTTTTTATATATATTACATGCTATTGATTACGAGTATAACTTTGGTCAACATTTTATGTTATATAATAATAATTTATCAAATGTAGCTTTTTTTAAACAGTCATTAAACTTAACAAAAACTTTTGAATAGGAAAGAAAAATGATATTCGCCTTATTTTTATCGATTTGAAAAGGGCTATTCTCTTCAAAAGTTTTCAAACAAAACTATTATTTGCCATGTTTAAGCCTATTTAATAGATAAATACTGATTTTATGTTTTAAAGTGACAAGCATATCTTTCATTCTAACGCATGATGAATAAAAGATAGATTGATAGCGAGAGAGAGAGAGAGAGAGAGAGAGAGAGAGAGAGAGAGAGAGAGAGAGAGAGATGAGAGAGAGATGAGAGAGAGGGAGAGAGAGAGAGAGAGAGAGAGAGAGAGAGAGAGAGATGAGAGAGAGATGAGAGAGAGGGAGAGAGATTTTAAAATTAAAAAATAATATAGTAGAAGGAAAAGAGAAAAAATAACAAAGGTGTGCTTTACGATATAATCAAGAATTACGCTTTGTTGTTTCCATTGAAATGGAAGGCTTCGGCCATAAAGTCAATTTTTTTCTCAATTTAATAACGATTTTTGTTTGAAATGTGGCCGAGAGTTGTCAGAGAATAGAGCAATTATATGCTATTTATTAAAAAATATAAACCTTGACGTGTTGGGTTAATAACCAGTTTATACTTATTAATTTATTGTTGAAAATTTAAAAAAATAACTAACATTGGCAAACATAACAAAAAAAACAATTTAATAGAAATATTACTGGAAGAATTACATAGATCTGTATCACAAAAACATTGCGTTACTTCGGCATTACTAGCCGGATTGATTCCTTTACAATCTCGATGAAGTATATCAGACGTACAGCCTCTAGCCACCTGCTGTAAATCTGTAATTAATTAGAATATATTATCGTGTTGTAAGAATTTTAAAAATATCCACACTAATCTTCTACATATACAGTATATTCTAAAAGTCATTTTATACCGTTTGTTAAGCTCTTTGTTTTAAAGCAGTATTCGTGATTATTACAAATAACTATTCCAGTAGAATCAAATTTATCGTTACAAGCTATATCACCAGCCGAACATTTGTAACATCTAATAGAAGAAACTGTGTAAAATAGCTGAGAAACAAGAAAAAGCAACGAAAAAAGCGCAAACATTCTCTCTTATGTTATATAAACTTAACTACCAGTTATTGATCACCATTAATCCACCCCCTTGTGAAAATTCACAAAACTAATCAATTATAGGTTTATGGGCCTTCATCACTATGTTTAATATAAACGGATTAATAGTAAATATTTCGAGTTAATTAAAGAATCATACTGCCTATAGGCCTTAAAAATATATGAATATACAGTATATATATATATATTTACAAATAATATACAGTATCTATTAAAAAAAGAAGAGGGAAAGATAAAAAAAAAGTTTTTTAGGCTTAATGAACAGATGGAAAGAATACAGAATAATTCCTAAAATAAATCAAAGATGCCGCATGTTGTATTTAGTACAAACATACTGTACTTTTTAAAGCTATCAATATCCTTCAGATTTTAAATTGTAAGCAGCAAAAAAAAGTCCCATTTTCGACCAAATTGGTCTGTTTACATTGTAAATATGCGTAAGAATAATACGCAACGTATAACTGAGATTTCATTCATGTACAGCTATACCACGAAAATAATAATATATTTGAATAGAATTAAAGAATGTTTATTAGCAACGGTATAAGTGTACTATCTGTACAGAACCTATATAAATATATCTTTCTTACAAGTTAACATATTAAAATATAGGTGCACTTCTCTTTTCATCCAATTAGAAATCTTTTCTTTCAACTATCAGCCTATGCTTTTTTTCCAAGTAAAAGAGAAAAGTTCTTTTTTGTAGCGGTATTAATTTAGATTGTGCTAATTAGTACCTAGGTGATTTTTTTTGTCTAAAATCACTATTAATTTAACTAACAACCTAAATAATAATAAAAACAAGAGGAAAAAAAGAATTTCTATTTCGTATTATGGTCTTTAAACTATAAGGCGGTAGAGGGCGTTATGTAAAGAATACTTACACTGTTATGAACGATGTAATAAAACAAAATCAATTATAATTAAAGTATTTTGAAATAATAAAAAAGAAAGAAAATTTTCAACCGAGACAATTTTGATTTTAAAAGAAACCAAAATTAAAGGATGATGAGTGATGCAATTAAAAGAGAGAGAGAGAGAGAGAGAGACGAATAAAGCACACAAATAGTATATATATATATATAGTATATAAATTTATATATACTATTGGTACTTGTTTTGGTCGAAGAAAACATTTTGAGGTCAAGGTTAATATATGCCTTTTTATAGTGTTAACTCTTATTTTTAGACCAGATAAAAGATAGTATTTAATAAGTAAAGAAGCTACTATAAATTTTATACATCATTTCGTTTCATTGGCGACAATTTCTTTTTCTCATTCACAAGGTAAATGTCAATCAAAAAACAATCGCTCTAGTTTCATCTAAAAGTCCAAAAATTCATTCAAATACCTATCAAACTCTGCTACTTTTAGTAGTTCTTCTGTATAAGCATCAAAATTGCTGGCATCACCTTTACCTTTCGATTTAGGTTTAAATTCTGGAACTATCTTTTTATCATAAACTTTCTTCCATTCAAATTGACTAAACCATTTGTGCGCTTTTACATCCGTGACTCCATTTTTTAGAGTACCAAACCTTTTTGTAGGATCAATTTGCAATAAATTTCGAAGCAGATCCTTCAAGTCTGATGAAAAATCGTTTGGCCACTTTATTTTACCCGCAACAATTTTTTCATATATTTGAATTGGTTGATCTGCAACGAAAGGTGGTTGGCCAGCTGACATTTCATATATGAGAACTCCCAACGCCCACCAATCAACCGACTGATTATAACCTTTATTGAGTATTATTTCAGGAGCAAGGTACTCGGGTGTTCCGCAAAGTGTCCATGTCCGATTCTTTACCTCCTTAGCAAATCCAAAATCCGTTAACTACAAAGAAAGAGAAATAGAAAAGAATGTTCTACTCTACTGTATAAACTTTACAATTAATTAATAAAGATATATAGAATACAGTATATAAATTTATATATACTTCAATGCGTTTTAATCTTATTCTAGGAATTAATAACCTTTAAATATCCTTTAGAATCAATAAGGATATTTTCCGGTTTAATATCTCGATGAATAATTATGGGATATTCTAAATCCTCTTCATTATCTGTGGTATGTATTGTATGCTGAAGATACTCAAATACCAGTATCATTTGGCCAGCATAAAATCTTGATAAATTTTCAGAGAATTTTCCCATCTTCCTTAAATGAGAGAACATTTCTCCACCATCAATAAATTCTAATACCATATATAAATACACGTTATCCTTTCAAGATAGGCATATAAAGAAATCATATTAATAGTTATTTTAATTAAGCTATTAAAATTACTTTGAAAGAAAATGCCAAATCTACGATAAAAGGATGTTTACAGGCATTTAGAATGTTCTTTTCGTTAATAGTATGTTCAATTTGTTTTGTTCTAACAATTTTTGATTTCTCTAATATCTTTAAAGCATAAAATTCATTTGTTTTATTATGCCTAACAAGCATCACTCTGCCAAAAGAACCGGTCCCAAGTGTCCTATACTTGATAAAGTCTTCAAATTGAGCCGTATTCTACAATTGAAAAATGTTCCAGATCATATACATTCTTATATATATATATATATCTATAAACTTTGTAACGCATTATTCGTAATAAAGGTTCTCACCTGAGAAGGCTCTTTTAAACGTTTTGTAAACTCTGCTTTTCTTTTATTTAGCTCCTCAAAAGCTACATGTTTAAATAAAATACGATATAGACAAAAAAAGAAATAAGAGACTCGTACAGCTTTTAATGCTTTACATAAATGAAATCAGGTAACCGAATTTTTATTGTTTTTTTTTTTGTAGTTATTCTAGGTGCATAAAATGGTTTTATTTTATCTTTCTTTATGCAATAATAACTCCAATAGCAAAGAAATTAACAAGAAACAAACTCGTATAAAACTCTATTATAGTTTTATAAAGGAAAATTAACTCACTAGGCCATTGATAAGATTTTTCTCTTCCATCTCCCGATTCTACATTAGTACCCTTTTTACTCAGTAGACCCATCCTTCTCCAATGCAATTATACTTACTTAAGTAAACGGAATTTAGAATCGACGAGAGACAGAAAAGTACCTTTCTGTGTTAAATTTAGAGTACATTGTACTTAAGAAAAAATATGAAAAAGAAGAGAAAATATTGTTTTCTTTCCTCTTCTTTTAATTTATATTCTTCCATATGATATTAAACAAATACCTTTATATTTCGAAGAAACTATTTGAATAATTATCCTTTTTTTAAATAGAAATTAAAGTTGAAAAGACAAATTTACAACAAAGGAAAACTTTAAAAGGAACTAATTTCTTTCTCCTCCGAGAGAAGTTTCTTTTTTTTTTACCTCAGACTTTTATTTAAATAAGAGACATAATAAAAAAAAAACATGAAATGTATTTATTTTTGTTTAAATAAAACGATGATGTTTCCATCCTACCAATCAAACTTTGGCTACAATTTCGATTTTACCCGGTTTTTGGATAACTTTATTCGTTCGCTGGACCTAATTTAGGTCTTTTCTTTATTAACTAAAAAAGATTATGCAACATTTACAAATGTAAGATGCAAAGTGTATTGAAGGTGGCGTTGAGAGAAGGAGAAAAAAAGAAAGAAAGGATGAAAAAAGATTCCTGTCTTTCCCCTATACAATACTTTGCGATGATTCGATAAGAAATAAAAAAATTACTTATCTTGTCAATTACCGTAAAATTTCGCAGATTCTTCAATCTGATACGAATTTCTATTAGAGGTTAATGAAGTATTTTTATATATTAAACTTTTTTAGATGAAAGAAGCTAGTGAAAGATTCGATTGTACTTTTGTTAGAGAACCGTTAATTTAGCTAATGAACTGATTTATCGATAGATAAAGGACAGTTTGACTATTAATAGTATCTTGTAGAGATATAAGAAACTTTTGATTCATTTGTCTTAAACCAAATCCTTTAGATTGTTTCAACTAGATAAAAACATAATACCTCGAGTACTTAATGAAATAGAGAATAAAGTATTATAGTAAAAAGTAAGATCTAATCGGAGTGAATGTATTGTATATTTATCAAAAACACTAGTAAACAATAGTAGCTGTTTAGTAGAACACTATTAAGATTTCCATCTCTACCGTTTGAAATCGATAATACTACGCGATAAATTTGTTCTAATTCCATTAACCTTCCTCTGACTTAAAAATTCTGTTATGTCTTATCCTTTCAGCGGTAAAGTTCTTACATGTTTTCAGTTTAAGCCAATAGATAAGAGACGTTCAAGTCTAACAATTGAGTCCTTTGATTAAATGGAAAGAAATTTAAATATATCCTAATTCAATATAATGACGTAAAATTTTATCGAGCTAAGGTGTAATCCAATTTTGTTTATTAACGACATATTGTACAGTCGTATCGACTTTTTATTTATCGAGTACGTCATTAACATTCAACTAGTGACATCTTTCTCTTCAAGGTAACGTCTATTATTTAAAAATTGAAGCTTGTTTGTTTTCTTTTTTGTAAAAATTTTAACAGATTACGCAATATTATTTAATTAATAAAAAGAACAACTGAGACAATTGAAGTTCACTTTAAAATCCGTTATTTTTTATTTCTTTTCTATTTTTGCAGTAATACAATTTTAATAAAACTAGAATATGCTTGCTTTCTTTTATTTATATAAATAGAAAAATCTATAAGTCACATAAGAATTAATTATATAAATATTTATATGTAAATACAATGTAAAATATATACACATGAGTTAATAATTTAATTAATTAATGAAGGCAGCTGGTGGTGAAATTGTAATAATTTTCTTGATTTCTTCGGTTCGAGACTTTCTATAGGTTTGTTTGTGATATCTCTACAGGCTCTTTTATTTGGCAGATCTTCCTTTTCTTCCGGCACACTTCTCTTCATAGACTGAGAAACATTGTAAGGGAGCGTATAAGGCATAAATGGTGTGGGCAATGAGACAATGGGAACTATATTCAATTGTGGAGTACATATTTTCGTGGTAGTAGAAATTACTCGATGAGGGTCAACTGGAGAAGGTTGGAGGTCGCTAAGATCCGCTTTCGAACTTCTTGATAATCGTCTTTCTAAGGCATCGGCTACATAGACGCTCAACTTTCCTCTAACCTCAGCGAAACGCTCGTCCGCGAGTATTTTTAATGTTTCATTTAAACAATCGACATATCCTGATGTAAAGGTTTCCCTATTTGTTGGCTTTTCTAATAAATTAAAAATTTTAGCTGTTAAAAAATATCGTAACTCCAATGAACTACCTTTACTCTTTGCTGGAAGTTTCTTCATATGATCAACAGCTAATTCTAAGACTTCAGCTCTCTCCAACTTGTAAGGCATATTCTGCTGAATTGTTGCAGTATCAACAATCATGCGTATTTGTTGCATACTTTGCGTTATTCTTGCTCGTCGGCGCTTTTCAATGAGCGGCTTACTAGATGACTGCTAAATATAATGTCAAAGAAAGAAAAAGGTAAATTAAAATGGTATATTTAATTTGTTAAATCTCACCTTTGGCATTGTTAATCAACTGTGAAAGGACAATGAATACATACGCATTAAACGCATTCAAGCTTTATATGCAAAATCTGATTTGGGGAGGAGACTATTCGACCAATCAGCTTTCAAGCCGTGTGAATCTTTTCACCCTATATTGTTTTTAATCTGAGCCGCCGACTTCCTGCCGATAAGGGCGTTTTGATAGCTGGATACCTCAGTAGATAATTTAGACGGTCTATCACTTCGGAAGAGATATCCCTCTATTTTAAAAACAATGCCGGACTTTGATCGTCCCTTGTAATTCAGCCAGACTGATTAACCGTTTGGTAGAAAGAAAAACTGAACAAAAACCTAATCAAAGAGCTACTAATTGTTTTTTCTTCATTTCGAAGTACTTTTACTATTCGTTTTATCTCTTCTTTAATTGTTTGTTAAATTGAGTACAACTGAAAATTTCAAATAATCTCCGCAATTAACACAAATGTTACATTTCATATTTCAATTATTTCATTATTATGCAAGGATGCTTTAGTATTCAAAAAATATCTATGAATAATATAAATAAGGTAAATGGAAAGGAAAAGCGGGTTCTTGAACTTGTCGAGCAAAGTTTTATCTATCAAAAAGAGGGATTATAAAACACTTGAAAATATCTTCCCACGGTGAAGATCAATTATTAGTGATGAAAACAATTGTATTTGATTGGTTAGACATCCCATAGGGCATATTAGTGGCACGAGAAAAGTCAGAAAAACTCGTTGAGTAGCCTCTTCGATGTGACGCTTTTGTTACCATTTAACATGTTACATAATGAGTCACCTTTAGTTTTTTACTCTTTAAATATTTAATGATCACTTTGAAACTATGACGTCAAGCCTACTTTTAAAAAAATCTTCATCAAGTCTACGATGTTTAATAATATTTTTGTAGAAAAAACTGTATTAATTATAAAGCCGGAAGCTGTAGCTAAAGAGTCAGAAATTTCTAACGCTTTACTGAAATTTGGCTTTAATATAATAAATCGTAGGAAAGTGCATTTAACACCGGAAGTAGCATCAGATTTTTACCGGGAATTTATCGAAGAAACTTTATTTTTTAATTTAATTGAAGCCATTACATGCGGTCCATGCGTAATCTATTGTTTAGCTCGCAAAAGCGCTGTTCATTTCCTGAAACAGCTGGTTGGACCAGCAGACGTTGTTATGGCTAAACGAACAAATCCTGATTGTTTAAGAGCAATTTACGGTTTGGATAGATTACGCAACGGTTTGCACGCGAGTTCTAATAGAGAATCTTCCGATCGAGAATTAAGATTCTTCTTCTCAAGTAATTTAATTATAGAACCTTTGATGAATAAGCTGGAAACGGAAGATTACTTAGAGTGATGGCAAAAAAAATTAACACTTTTTAAATATTGATAAACGTTAATTCACTGTTTACCAACACTTTTATAAGAAAGCCCTACTAATACATTTATTAATTCTTCTGCTATCACTCTATAAACAGGAAAAATATTTTCCCTGTTTTATTGAAAGCAACTACAAAGGTTTGTAAGGTGAAACCTGTCAATCCTGTTAATTATTTAGCCGATCTGTTGCTAAATATGGATCCAAATGGACCGAAAGTAGAGCTACCCTAACGGTTAATATCTAAATCAAAGGAAACAAGAAACTATTGTCATAACTTCATCGAAATAATTAATTGATAACTATAAAACTTTTCATGAAAACAGCATATTTATTGAAAATCAGTAGAGATGTTACTATACAATGTCAATAACCTTTAACAGACCGACAGGAAGATAAAAAGAATTTGATTTTATACCGGTATTATGTAATATGAATTTGTTTGTTTTTGAAATCTGACTAAATTGGCTTTAGAACGTAATAGTACGTTAGAATTAATCAGCCTATTAGTATATTGATTTAGCATTGTAGCATAATTTTAGATCCATTATATGTTTACAGATATTTTTTCAAAGAACAAAATCAGGCACGATAAACCTATTAAACTTGCCCAAACGTATATGACACCTTGCATATTAACTAGTGTAACAGGCTTTATTTGTTTATTTATTGTTATTTCTGGATTTTTTAATTCAGCAGGCCACCATTTGTTTTTCCATTTCTTGATTAGACCAGTTTCTTTAACCAAGACAGTGCTAAAATAGATATTTATGAAAGAGTTAAAAACTGATTAATTATGTATATTTCATTTTTATTACTTACTATTTTCTAAAAGTTTCAGAATAGAACGAGTGTTTTGGCAAGGCAACTGCATAATGTGCGTAAAATGGTTCCATATTAGTTGCTGTAGATAATCTTGAATCTTTGGCTGTTTCTAAGGCAAAACTTGTTGAATCCAAATAGAAAGCGTAACCTCCTTGTTTAACTAGATCCATATGTTCATTAAAATTTATACTTAATACTTTAGAATTTTTTTCTAAGCTATCTGTAACTTTTGCCCAGACACTTTTATGAAATTTAGTATTCGACGTCTAATAAAAAAGTAATTAAAGTTAATACCACTTAGTAGTAAAAAGTAGTACTGACATTCCACTCCGTAACAGTTGCTGCTCCGCCTAATGTTCCTAAAAGAAAACTGTCTGTCTGTGTCAAATCGTATAGATTACGGAAAGGAGGTGTATCCTTAGAAACAGTGAGAAAAGCTACAATATTTCCACTGTATGTTGTCCGCATTATGATCATAAAAATCCAACAAGAACCTATAACAATTCTCCCACTTTCAGTCCTAGGAAGTGTGAAAATTGCTGTTGAAAAAGGATACTAATTTAATTAATTTTGTTATTCTCTATAATATTCAACTGTCACAACATATTGTGTGAAGTTAACAAAAAAGAAAAAAATTAAACCTTGCAGCATAGCAGTTCCGAAAACGGACATGTTATTACTTAACCATTGATAGAAAATAAGCTTTTTGCAAGAATATGAAAACCAAGCGATATCAACTAGCAGTAGAACTGTTGATATAATCGGTATAACAGAAACTGGGGAGGATTCCAATATTATCTTATAGGTTTTTTAGCTAGTAATCAGCTTGTAAACTTACAGAAAATTAACCATACGTTCGTTCGGAAAGGTTTAATAAATAATAATGATTTATCAAGACTTTTAGTGTCTTTTTTGTAGATGATTGAGAAAGAATCTTCATAAAAATCTGCAGTAAAATCTATAATTTTATCTCGAGCAAGGGTTCTTGAAAATGGCGCAATCACCACATCAACTTCCTTATGTAAACAAAAAATAGAAAATACAGTATAAATACAAGATGGTTGTTTCGTATTTTTTCTGAACAATTTACTTTATGCTGAAGTTGTCCGGCAAGTCCAGACCATTTGCCATTAGTTGAATTGAATGCTCCCCATTGTCCGTCTTGCGGATATCGAATTATGTATCTAAGTTTAACATTCGATATTAAAAAATAGAAGTAGTTTATCTATCCAATTATAGATTCTTACGTAAAGTTCATTACAGTTGACAAATAATGAATAAAATCCACACATAGTCCTTTATAAACATCTTCGAATTTATCAATAAAAGGCCACCACTGTATTAAGATAGGAGTAGAAAAGTAACATATAATATTTGTATGCATGAATATATATGATAGAAAATATGTTTTGAAAGTTATTACGGTCAGAGAGCCTATGATGAGTCGTTTACCGTGAAAATTGATATCTTTATCATCGTTAGCTAGAAAAATTCGATTATTAAGGGACGGGTGGAAATAATTTAATTGGTGTAATTGAAATTTAAATCCATAGTTTGTGCTGTATATATAATCAATATTGTTAATCTTCCTCTTAAAGTAGAATGCGCAGTTTGCTAGCTGATTAATATAAGATTCTGTCAAATTATAAACTGCCTCTTCATTTTTACTTATAAATAACCAGTTCATTTTCATAATAAGATAGCCATGATAAGATGATGATAAATTCTTCTCATATGTATGAGCCTGTTAAATAAACAGGATATTACATAATGCACATAAATGTTAAATATTCCATTATTACCATTTTATAAATATTTTCAATACAAACATCATTGCACATGACAATGATATTTTTAATATTTTCAAAGCCAATTTTATCCAGTTTCTTAAAAATGTCATCTCTATTTGGATCGTCAATGATATAGTGTAAAAGTCCTTTTTTATAAGAATTCGACAATAAAACAGACGGTATTTCTAAAGAGAACAAATTAATAATAGAAAATTTCTAATTAATAATTTGATACCTGATATATTTCCAGTAATTAGCATATATGAGTCCCATCTCAGTACGGAAAAGACAAGATTTAGTATTACAGTCGGATTGTTCATACTATTAAAGTACCAAGTGGTCTGACGCCGAGTCTTATATTCGAACATAAATAATTAATTATGAGTAAAATATATTAACATATAATCTTCATCATCAGGGAAAAAACAGTGAACTTGAAAAGAAATAGCTGTTTATTACTTTTGACTTGATAGTTTACTTTAATGAATATTCTCTTTGATTTAGTTTATTTTTGCCTTGATACTAATGAAAATTTAATGAAGTTAATGTATAATGAAATAAAACCAACAAGATTTTATTCATGCAGACTATACTCAATAATTCAAGTTCATATACTTACAGATTTTCTCCATAATTTGATTAATTTTTTTTTTAATTATAGAAAATAAGAGGTGAACACTAGGAGATCTTTGGATGAGAGGAAGTAGGAGAATTCTCTCCTGTCTCTGACAAAAGTATCCTTCTGTCCTTCTGTGTTTTTGATTAATAGGAAAAAAGGAATCCAAATATGATTAATTTTTAAAATAAGAAATTTATAGGTATGCTCATGACTTAAAAGTAAAAGAACAAATATCTGTATCCATTACTGTATTCATCTAGAAAGTTTAATGTTTTTAATGCCAAGAGCTTTAATTATTAAATGATTAATAGCTCAATCTGAAAAACATGACGTCTACTGTTTTCTCTATAAAGAGAAATGTTTATTGAACAAACAATTAAATAGTAATTTATAAAAAGAAATGAATTAAATAGAAACATAGTAAAAATTCTTTCAACTCTTGTCTTTATATACTGTTAAATGCAGTATTTTTTCTTTACATATTAGTAATAATAGAAACCAATTAGAATGAAAAAATAAGATTTACAATGATGTGATATACCACATTTAATCAAATCTCTTATAGCTAAAAAGAAACTATACAAAAAACTTTTTTAATAAACTTTCTTTGAAAATAAACGAAATTTTCAATGCAAAAACTAATATACTAATATATTTCCATTGTATTTCTTCATGAAAAGTTTTATGTAGTAAGTAAAGTTTGCTATTTTCTGTATGTTCTTTATTCTGTAATAATTTAAGGAGAGAGAGAGAGAGTGACAGGGAAGGGCGGAAAGAAAGATCTAAAGTCTTTGCACAGTTACTATTGTGACATACACGTCTATCTTTTATGAAGCTATTATAATCGGTGTAAATGCACTTAAAAGCCTTTTTTCTAGATAAACCCGACTTATTACTTATTTGCGTTATATCTAAAAAAAAGCTACATTTTGCTCTATGTATCAAATGTATTTAGTATAATAAAACGTTAATGTAATGAAGTACAATTGAAGAAAAGTTTATTAAGGCTTAAGAAGAGAGCTTAACAAATTTTCCTTAGTTTTCATAGGCTTTAGTGCGGTATTGTCTAGCATATTCAATAAAGACTGATCTAATAATGATGGAAATTTTTAGAAAAGTAACAAAATTAAACAGCTGCAATAAAATGTATAACTATATAAATGTTTTGTCATACTTATCATTTCAATTATGGTTTGCCGTTCATGCAAATTCTCTTGAAGAGACTCCATTGCTTGTAAATACCTGAAGAAAGTATCTTCTGGCCAACAGTACATTGTATTATCCAAAATGAGATTATGTAAATTTTTCTCAATTTTCTCTTGTATATCTTTTCAATATTTACATTGGAATATAAATGAGAAACAAGTATATACGTTTCTAAGAACTATAATACCTAGCTCCGGAGACGATGACTTTCTTTCAATTGAATGACGGCTTCTTCTAATATTTTTGTTTCTATTAGTGTGTTTTTATAGTAATTAGTCAGTTAAGTATTAAGATAAAGTATTTTTTAAAACCTTTGCTCATTTAAAAAGGAATTAGTTGGATCCTGCTGTTAGAAAAAAAAGACTTAAGAAAGTAAACGACCATGCATTACCAGCCGTTTCAAACCTTTGTTTGATCTTCTTCATTAATATTTGCTTTGTCTTTCGATTGTCTAAGTATAAGACTAAATAGGTTAAACGTCTAATTAAAGATTTTTACCTCCTACAAATTAGCAACCTTCTATTGTATTCATGAAGCTCAACTCCTAATTTCTCAAGGTTTAGTTCGGCCTTTTCTAATTCTATGCGTTTTTTGGCTTCTTGATATAGCTCAGTCCTGATTATTTGAAAGTTATTTACTGTAAAGACGATTAGATACTTTTAAAAAGTGAATACTTTCAAACAAGACTTGACGGTTAATACACTAAAACTCACCCATAATTCCAGCAAATATGTTTTGAAATACGAAACTACCAATCAATATCCAAAAGATTATGTATGCGCTCCATAGCCAATTTGTAGTTTTTTCAACAGTAACCTTTTGAATATCATTATATATTTTTAGCCATTGATCTAATGTAAAAATCTGCCACAGCGTTAATAAAGCATTTAACATAGAAGAGAAGGCTTCTCTATATTCCAGGTCATGCGTATCAGAATGGGAGAATTTATCGAAGAACATGACTCCAACAATAGCAAATATATACGCGAATATAAATAACAAGACAGTTATAAATAGTAAAGCTCTAAAGGCTTTAGTTATAGCTAAAGCTATTAGTCTCATTTGCTTGAAATGAATAACCATTTTTAACGCTCTAACTATTCGAAAAACTCTAAAATATTGGCCAACTGATCCGAAATCCCCTGTCACTTGTGGATTATTTCCTAACACCCGCATCATGCCAATCACATCTGGGAGAACGCTGAGGAGGGTTACAAGAAAGTCAAAGATATTCCACCCGCTGACCCAAAATTCCCAAAAGTCGTCTATCCATTTTAGACCAATTTCTAGTATAAAAACAAACAGAGCGCAGTAGTCTAGCAGGGCCAGAACTATTTTCAAAAGATGCAGATTTTCTCCCGGAACTTCACCTATTTCTATAGGAATATATTTGAATTAGTAAGCCGTCTAAAAAGAAGCTTGAAACAACCGGCTTGAATTCCTAAGACTATAACATTTACAATAATAAGAGAGAGTATAAGATTTTTGAAAAAGAAGCTAGACACAACCCAATTAGCCCATATGTCAATAGGTGGATTATCCGCCTGCCGAACTCGAACTCTGTTAATTCGTCTCCTGAGATTTCTCATTGAGTCATTCTCTTCTTCCCTGTCTTTATATTCTTCTTTACTGGCCTCGTATTTTTGTAGTTTAATAGGGCAGTGTGGATTCTCAGACATGAAGTATAACTGACCAGTTTTATCTATTGATTTTTCCAATATTTAAATAAAAATATGTATGTATATTATATACTATATACCTAAAATACTTGACGTCCATTTTTCCCATTTATCCTCTCTTTTACCTTCCCTCTTTACATCCGACAAAATGTCGAAGTGATTTATAATTTTGTTGCGAAATATTTTTCCGCCATTCGATAATAAGTCATCATAGAATTCTGAATGTTTTCCTTCCGATTCCTCAGAAGAAGAAAACGCTCCTTCCTTAGAAACTGAACGCTAAGTAAAAGGAAGAAGTGTGGGCGGAGGAAATAGATATAGAAAACATATATATATATATATATATATAATACTCAATTACAAAACAAAATATTAATTTATATTTATTACGCTATTTCCTTGAAAATTCATTCGTTTTTCATTCAAACAAATAACAAACAATAACAAACAATCCAAAATCTAAATATAAACAATAATTCAAAAAATAAATTCTTATCTCTATATAGAACTTCTTTCTTGTTATAGATTTTTTTTTTTTTCAATTACAAAATTCCAAGAAAAAATTTGTTTTTTAATAAATGAATTAATAATATTCTCCCCCCCCTTTAAAACAGGTTTGTTTCTTTTCTCTTTGAAATTTTAGACGTGTTTATAATGAATGGCTTTACGAGAATTAATTAGAATAAGTAACATCATTTACTTTGTTAATATTTTCCTTTTTCATATTTTTTAAAAAAGAAACATCTTTTCATTATGATTATGGAGGCTAGGAAACGATAATGTAAGTTACTATCTTTACTATATATTTTACAGTAGTATATATATATCTTTCTAAATATATCCATATTTCATATAGCATATAGTATATTGGCTTCACATAAGTACACTGTATACTATCGATATATTTCGTACAAAGAAAATAAAAAAAAGAATCTCTTCTACTACTAATAGCGCCATCTTTTGCTGATTCTTTCATTACGAACAATGGTAATATGTAGGTTGGGTGCATGAATACATGGATGTATTTATATATTCTAAACTATTTTTAGATTAAACATTCTCTGTTGGATAATACGAAATTTCTTATTAATACGAATATTTTGCAGATATCAAATGAAAACTTAAAAAGTTATAGATTATTAAGAAGAGGGGAAAACGATGATAAATGAATAAATTTGATTATTAATTCATTAGGTAATAATTAAGGAGATTGAGTGTTACTTATTGTAAATAATAATATTAATTAAGCCTATCTCCAAATTTTATTAATTGTTAATTTTTATTGAGAACAAATCGATAGGCTTTCCTGTGCTAAAGATATTTAATATAAAGGTATATGTTTGGAAGGTGAGTGACTTCATAGACTAATTACTACACGCAATATACAATAGATAGTACAGTACATCCATCTATAGCACGATGGACATTTAACATTATAAACTACATCATATACATTAGATATTGTTGTTAATATTAATATCGTATATATTATTATTTTTTTATTATAATAGCAGCAAATAATTTAGTTGAATTAAGCAAATGATAAATGTTTTGTCTGATAATTGATATCCATCACCTAAATCTTTGTATCAAAAATGTTCATATTTAAAATATAACTGTAATTGATTAACTTTTTAATTTATTACTTTCTTTTTAGAGCGTGTACATCTACATGTAGGCTTTCCTCTTTCAAAAGATTGTCTTTTGCAGATGGACGAGAAGATTAAATTAAGGTTTGTTGGTCAAAAATCTCTTGTAAAGGGGAAAAACTTTTGAAATTTAACCTAATTCATTTTGTTACGCACTATATTAGGTTCTTGCAATGTTAACAAAATGTTCAGTATCTGATCGCTAATGGTAAAATGACCTTTTTTTCCTTTTATACAAACCTTCTCTTTCCTTCTTTCCAAACAAAAATAAAGTAAATAATATTTCAACGTTAGAAAAAATAAGCAGAAGCAAATATCTTGAGGGTTACCAGGGCTACAATCAGCCTATATATCCAGGATGTAAGAATCGATGCCATCCACCTGTTTCTTTGGGCACTAATTTTGATTATCTTGAAAAACATAAGTGGTTTTATTAAATTCTTTATTTTTATCTCAGAAAAATGCCAGTTTCTTTTGTCATTCTACTTTTCTTTTTCTTTCAATTCCGTGTCCTCTAGGAAGATATTTTCTCTTCCATTTATTTTTTTTTTCCTTTCAATTACGTATGTAAAAAAAAAAGTTGCTAGAAAAAAAAGAAAACATAAGAGAAAAATGTATTCGCATTGTAACAATAACGAATTACTTATGGAACATATTGTGAAATATAAGAGAATTCTTATGATCGGATGATAATCTTCCTACGTAGCAAATGCTACCGAGTGCTTTAGTGTCTAAAAACAGATAATTTTATAAAATACAAAAAAAAAAGAAAACTTAAATAGAATAACTTTTAACTAAAAATAGTTTTACTCCTTTAATATGTAAAAGATAACTACTCTATCTGCAAAATCTTTAACGAAATCAATTATACGAGTATACATTTATACATAAATAATTTCTGTTTATGGTACCATTGTAAATTGACATTTTTGCTTTTTTTAAGTCAATTTCTTTCCTCTAATATATTTTATTTAGACTGGAAAAAAACAATACTAAAAGAATTTTTCGTTGTTTACGTAGAAAAAGTTTACTCATATTGGCTGCTTACCGATTAGAGAATACTTTCAAAGACTGTAAATTTGTACTTTCTAAGGCTTTCCGTGTCAGAAAGAAATAACGAATTGCTCTACAATAAAGAAGCATATTTTCTTTCTTTCTTTTAATTCTATCTAAATTCTTAATATACTTTACATAAATTCTTCTATTTTTGAATCATTCGATTTTTAGTTATTAGAACAAAACAAGAGAGAATATAAACTATATTTAATTCTAGTAATTTTATTGTTTTGGCATGTATGTCTTATTCTTTTGCTGTATTAAGAGAAAAGAATTATCTTTAATCGTATCTTATGCGTGACTTTCACATTTCGTGCCTTCTTTTTTTCTTCACTCTCTAAACATCGATCATTCTACAAACTAAAACTTCATAAACTTTTGATGATAATTCCTTTCCAGCATACGAATAATAAAGGCATTTGTGGTCTACATGAATTTTGCCAGGAATTTTTCCTCCTTGATGAAAAACTCTTCCAATGAAATCGTTTTTTCCATTCTCTTTTCTATTCCCAATTATTGCACCAGCAGGTATTTGCCCATTTTCAGCAGATATCCAATCATAAATAACATGTGGACTTTGAGTAAGTACTTCGTATTCACTAATCCCAATCTCTTTTCCTCCAAACGGAACATAGCAAACGCCATGGGAAGGTACAATCTTACCTAATTAGAATAAGTAAAAAAAGCAGTATGTAAAAGTACAATAGATACTTGATATGCTATTATATATACAGAGGTCATATTAAAACAAACACAACAGGAACATATGTACTTTAAGACTTTTCAAATCATAATTTTGATGTGATATGGTCAGATAACAAAAAGGGTGGAAAGTAGAACCTCACTAAAATGACCATATTCCACAAAACTATAAAAAAAAAATTTCTTTATCTTGGAGTATCAAGTTGTAAAATCAATAACGTTGATAAAAATGTTAAAAATCTAGTCTTTTTCTATAATAGCTATTGGATGTAAGATTTAAAAAGCTGTGTGAAAATAGCTTCTAATCACGATATGAATTCTGTTCCCTCTCTTATAAAGATGAAAATATCCGTAAAAAGTGCACTTATTTATATTTACCCGGGAGAAAGTTGCTAACTTGATTATACCACGCCCTTCCAACAAAAAGTGTCTCTCCGCTAGTATCATTTCCAGCTACAACGGCATTTGGGGGGATGGATCCATTATTCGACCTAACCCAACAAGATGGCCTTGTATGACCTGAAAAGCATTTTTCGTTAGATAAGGCTCAGGCGGAAATACAGAGCGATAATTTAAGAAGAAAATATTAGACATTAGTTATTAGTTATTGAATAAAACCTTGTGGTTGATACATTGCTGATCAGAAAAAAATAATATCAAAATTTAAGCGGAAGGTTCGATTTTAGTATCGAAACTGCTTCTAAAATAAATAAAAGTATTTATCACGTGAGCGGTAAACAGAAAAAATGGCCTATTTTCTGTTTTTTATGCTTATTAAGGAAAAATTTGTGGGATTTTTGCTATGGCTAGTAACAATGTATTTTCGTTTTGAGAACTGCTACACGTTTAACAATCGTAGGCATTATAGTAATTAAATTTCCAGTATCATTAATTATGTTATTAAAAGTTTATAGGAAAATGTTTCTTATATCCTATTATTCTTTATCTTTCTATCTGTCCATCTCTCTTTCTTTCTCTCTCTTTCTATATATATATATATATATTTTCATTCATCTGTTCTCTTTTTCTCTCTCTCTCTCTCATTCCCTCTCATTTTTTGTATCTTTAAAAAGAACAAATTGTACCCAATGTATTACTTGGAAATACTTTTAAAAGAAAGAGGTGTTTTTTGTCGTCTTTTAGTTCATTTTTACTAATCATTCTATTCTCTTACATTTTGTTTACAAGATTTTCTTCGTCTATCCCTCAATTCCATTCTTTTAAACTGTCTCTTCCTTTCAAATTTCTTTCCTACCTCTTTCCACATTTGCTCTAATTTGCTTCTTTCATTTCGCATATTCTTTTTCTCACTCCCACGCTATTTGCTTTTCTAACACCCGATTTATTCTCGATATCTTGTTTTTTTGGATACTCGACGTATATAACTCCCAAACTGTTTTTCTGCACTCAGTTCTATGTTTAAATGTTTATCAAGACTTTCATGGTTCTGGCCTCTTAGTTCTCATTCATATTATTTTTAACTATCCTTGCCCTTGTATCGCACCCGTTGACTCTTTCTCATCTCCTATTTTATGCCCAATAAGCTCTATAGTTCTATAATTAGCATAGGTAATGTTATTGATAGTATCCATTGATTATGCTCCGACAAAAGGCTAGCTTTTACAGATACAATAGCATGTGAATAATCGGTTTATTAAACCTATAAACCTGTTGTAAAGCTTTTCGAAGAAAGCAATTTTCCTCACGCCAGATGGCAGTAATATCGCGATACACTCAAAAATGTACATTATGAGAAGATATAAAGATATATACAACATATTTAAATGTATATATAAGAATATATATATATATTTTAATATATAGTATATACTGTATGCACATGCATACTATTATAAATATCCGTATCTAAATGTAAAAGTATATTAGTATATACATATAATAAAAATTATCCGTCTTTCATAATATCCTCGTAGGCTGGTGGAGGTGTTCGGCCTAATTGATCGTTGGCCGGTACAGTCTGATAATTATATGCCCTTCTGGGCTGCCGTTGAGATCTCCGAGAAAGCCCGGAAAGAAAGGCTGGAATATGAGTCTTTCGTAAAAGCGCACCAACCCTACTTTCCTGTGAAGTTCCGGACGCTTCGTCCTGTGCCCCAGCCGTTTGAGTTTCGCATTCCCTTACTTCGACACGGGGACGGGAAATTGGAGCAGAACATTCACATTCGCTGGACACGCTATAAATTTTTGACTCGTCAACACTTTCACTAGCACTCAACTCGATTTCTCTCAAAAGGGTTGCTACTCTTCTCTCCACCTCTGAATCGTCTGTATTATTTCGTTTTAAAGTTGACCTTCTAGCAGGTAAACGACAAATAGCAGGTCCACTACCTGTACAGTCAGTGTCTGTAGCTTCATTCCAATTACTCGTCTCTGCATCTTCCTCAGAAGTTGTTCGATATTTTGATGAAGAGTCCGTATTTTTTCGGTCATCTTCAGATTTCCTACCATTAAACATTGGTGTTGAATGACGTCGAGCAGTCGCCGGCGACGAATGACGTCTTGGAGGTCCAGAACCCGCGTTGAAGGTTAAAACAGAAAGTTTTCGTTGGTATGGAACAACATGATCATCGCAGATATGCTCACAGATGGCTCCTCCCCAGTCAGCTCTATGTATGCTAATTTGAGAACAATAACTACTACCTAAGCTAACGTCCGTATCCCACTCGGACTCTCTTGGACTAAAATCCCAAATTCGTGAGCTTATAAAACTAACGTTAGACGAAGCACGAGAACTTCTACTTCGTGAGCTACGACGAGATCCTCCAAGGGAATAATCACTTGGACATGATAGTCTTGACAAATCTGATCCAAGATCTGAATGAATTACGATGTAATGACGAGAACCAGATGCTACGCTACTCCGTCGATCTTCTATATCAAATGTTTCAAATCGACTAATTTGAATTCCAGGTAATTCGAACTCTTTTCCTTTCGGACATTCATAAATTGTTAAAGGTGTTCTATCCTTTTCGTCTGGTTGAGAAAGACGATCGAAGGTCAATTGGCTATATCTCCTCTTGCAGGAATGACCAGTTATTGAGTCTTTTCTTTTAAACCTGCCGCTTTCTACGTCGGAATTAGCTAAGTGGAAGAAAGAAAAGCTATATTGTTAAATATTTATTGGAATTGGAATGTCGTTGGATCGAGATTTTTTTCTTAGTCTCTTGAGAGTTAATTCGTTTAATGTTAGTGCAGTGTAATTATGCATATGAAGCGATGCAATTAACCCTAAACGTGTTAAGTGAAAATGTCATGAAATGGAATGCATATGGTATATGCTTGTTCTATCCATATTAACTTGTTGAGTGAGAAACAAATATATATACAAGCATATATATATATAAATATATATAGATGTATATATGAACAATAAAAGTCTACTATGCTAACGATTAGTATGTAAACTTACAGTAATCAACAGGAGTCTGAGAACGTAGCTTACGCAGCAGCTGACGTTTAATTACTGGATCTAAATTTTGAACTTGTAAAGATGGATTGTTGAGTATATCCATGGCGTAAGCGTGCAGGTGAACGCGCTCTCGTAGTTCGAATGCTTGCTGTCTTCTTTTCCATTCTAAGTTCCACATTCTAGATAATGCACAACCAAGAAGCCACATAACAACCGTCATGGTCAGACACGCCGGTCCCAAAATTTTTAGCGTCGTCTGGTGGCTCTTCTCTACTCCTGTATAGCCGAAAACTGTCACAGTTACTCCAGCTATGAAAAAGGCAACCGAACAGAGGAACATGCATCGACCCATCGTTTCGAGCGATGTCCACTTCCGGTTGACGTTTACTCTTTCGTTCTCCGACGCCTCGCTCTTCTCATCGCTCAACATTCTCTACTCTCTCTCTCTCCCTATACGTGACGCCGTCGACGTCACCTCTTTTACAGTACGCCGTCGCTATGGCAACCGATTTCGTATTGTCACTCGGTGTGTTTTTTTACGCGCTGGTAAATTAAAAAAAGAATCTCGACCGAAACGGCAAAGCTATATAGACGCTGCCGTCTCCTGGCCCGCATTGAGCAGTCACCTGTTTTTTATATATACGGCGACGCTCTCGCTACGAACGCCATCTAAAAATAGACACCGCTTGTCGAATAACAACGAAAATCGTTAGTCGTCTTAATTTATGCTCGTGTATTCGTGGAGTGTCGTTGAGTTTCTATAACGCCTCACACAGACAATAATGATGCCTATTATAATAAGCAAAAATGGTATTCCGAGTCCAAGGGATAGGATGCATATAACGAGTAAGGACAAGTTGTCTTCAGGTGGCTTTCCAGTGCCGAGAGAAGCAGTCCTGAAAAACAAGCAAACATGAATTAAAGAGTTTGTAAATAGACAGTGTAAAAGTCGAACAACAGTTCAATGACGCCAACAAGTTTCAATTCAGGGAAAGTAATTAAAATTTTCAAAGTGACAGGTCATAAAATGTCAAAATCACTTGTTTGTTACCAATATTGAGGATATTAACAAGTAAGAATAAAAGTTTGCCCTAATTAACCTTTTTCTAGGAGAATCTTTAAACTTCTCCTATCTTCTTATTAGATTTATTATAAATAATCGAAGGGACGAGAAGGTGATATTTTATCCAAAAGCTAAAGGGTATAATAAACATTAAATCAAGATCAATAATTATCATGTTACTTAAAAAAAACCCACATATCGTTATTATTGCATTTATAATGCACTTCATTTCTACCGATTTTCCCTCATGTTTTTAAACCGAACTATCAGAAAATATTCTCCTTAGTACTAAATTCATTATATTCAAGTTCTCTTAAAAAACAAATTCCAAATAATTTTTCTATCATACTCGCAATATAACCTTATTAATTTAATTACAATAAATGTATATATACTGTATATTCAAATAAACGCTATATAATCTAAAACAGTTACTTTTTTTCTTATATTTTAATTATAAAAATTGTAATAACTTGCAACGTATTATTTCTTTTCTATTACTTTTTATTTTACTTAAGAGATCAATTTTCTAATACTCGAAAATAGGAATAAAATAAAGATAAATGTACTGTACATATTTATTTACATATATACTATATATATGTACAGTGTATAAAATATATGTAGTTTGTAATACATTAATAAGAAAATTCTCTATATGGAAAACAGAATTTTCCTATTCATAACGTTAACTTTTATATACACATCCTTTGGAATAAGAGATGTTAGGTAGGTAACCAGTTACAAACCATTTACATCGCCAATGAATGGATAGAAGTATATATGAAAGGATCAAAGGAAATTAATTTCCCGTCAACAAAGATATTGTTTATCAACCAGTAAAAGAAATTATTCAGAATTAACAACAATTATTGCTACAACCACTAATATTTCTAATTGTTAGAAATTCTGTATAACAAAAAGACAGGAAATTTCCTTTTTATTAGTTTAAGAAAAGAGAATCTTTCAAAATTTACTTCTTCTCCTTATTAAGAGGTCGTTAGAAAAGAAAAAGAATGGGCGAGAGAAGGTAACTGACATCAGAATCAGTTGGCTTTGTACTCGTATCTCCTGCTGTCGTACTAATATATGAATAAGTGAAAGAGAGCGATATAGGCAAAAAGGTATCTATTTCTATTGCTTTATAAAATACGCGAGCTCACATTTATCAACAAAAATAGATAAATAAATAAAAATATATATACAGCATATGGATACGTATATACTATATGCATGTATACACATATATATATATATTCACTATATTTTTACAGCGCACGCTATATATATTTACTGATAGACAGGCACAAAGAGATTGATGCGGGGGAAGGGCAGGGGAGGGAGGGAGGGGGAAAAGAAAATTGTGCCTTTTTTCTTAACAGAGAGGAAAAATTATAAAATTATTTCTTGTCTACTAAAATTTGTTGATCAACGATTATATAATAAATTTTTACTACAAATTCTAAATAGTAATACTTAAGATAAATTAAAAATAGATAAAATAACGCTGTCAACTATTTCTTATTTGGCATGACATTTTTTTATACGAACTTATTGAGCTGTTTTTAAGTACAAAAGAAATTAATCAGCTTAGAATTCATAGATGGTTTTTCATCACGTTATAACCTAAACAAACCAACTATCATTGACTAGATTTATAACCTTAGACGTTTGAGGTAATTTACGTATGTGGCATATGATAATTGTCCCTAGGGGGAGGAAGAATACCTTCATAATGTCATAGAGCCTTAACTTTTGCTTAATGATTTTCAGGGCAAAAAAATCCTAAACATATGAGAATACGTATATTTGACAAACCTTTCATCTCATTCACTTAATGATATATTCATAGATAGAGTAATTAATCTAAATATTTAGTTCTGGAAATGTAAGAATATATGAATTATTATATAATATTTCTCTTTATGACTAGAAGAGAGGGAGAGAGAGCACTTAGTCATTTTCTTCTCGTTTTAAATGAAATGTTTAAGAATAAGAAAAAAAGATATTTAATGATAAAAAAAATGTGTCAACGCAGTAACAAGATTTTCAGCGTGTACGTAATTGACACCGTACGCTGACGTAAAAGTTACCGGAAGTGGCAATCGATATCGTGTTTATAAATGATCTACGTCATATTTTACCACCAATCTATTTGACTAATTTTCCATTTAAAATTTTTTTTACACTTCATATTTTATAAAGCAAAAATTAGCATGAAACTACCTCTAACCCAATTAACTTTAAACACGACGTTACAAAGTGGTCCGTATTACAACAATAAATCTGTAACTTAGATTATTAGCTACATCTATTTTAGTTAGATTGCTGAGTAGTTACATCAAAAAGTATATATTCTGTTGGATGAATAGGTAACTATAAAATGCATAAAAAAGGAGAAAAAAGAGCACACACACACACACACACACATACATACATACATATGTATATACAGCATATATATACTGTATATAGGAAAAAGTTACATTATAACAAAAGAGAAAGGTACACTTTTGTTATTTTGAAAGAAAAAATAAGGAAAAAAGTCTGTTCATTTGGGTATTATACCTAAGAAAAAATAATTACCAAACTTGTCGTATTCGAAAAAGACAGTTTGTCTATAACTTGCACTCAAATAAAGTTCAAGGTTATTTAAGAACTCGAAGCTTATCTTAATAAAGAAGAACTTATAAAATAGAAAGAGGAAGGAGAGAAATACGAAGGATAAATGAATAGTCTAAAAAAAGATAATAGAAAATCATTTGCTTACCATGAAGTGAAATTCGTAAGGGCGTAAAATTTATCTTTCGAAATACCAAATGACACATTCTCTCTATTCATCGAACACGTATCTCCACTAATACAATTGCCAAAGTATGAGTAAAATATAACATCGGCTTCATTCATAGCAACATCATTCACTTTATTTACACCATAATCAAAGACTTTGGTCGAAGTCTTCCTTTCCCTTTTTATCTTTGTATAGGCAACCGGCTTATATTGTATATAACCAGCTTCTGACGTTTTCAAAAAAGGGGTAAACCAATTTTTCATAGAAAATACACCAGGTGAATGTTCATCGTCAATATAATTCATTAAAATCGATTTAGATGACAGTTTAGATTCAAAGATTGATTCAAGTTCAACAGCAAAGCGAGAATTTTTAAAAGATGGTTTGAGGTTATTCAATACAAAATCAAATTGCGTATTATTGCTCGTAAATTGAAGTCCAGGAAGATCATCATTTCTGCAACTTGTTTGCCGGAAATGAAACTGTTAGAAAAAAGGAAAGAAACTGTAAACTTATAAAATCTAATCTGAAAAAAAGAAATGAAAAGAATCATAATAGATCACGATATATATTTAATATTTCCATTTAAAAAGTATATCATATACTGTATATTATAGACAGTCTTTTGCTGTTTAATTGAAAATTAAAATGGTATAAAGACACGTTTACTTCATTTGTATATACATATAAGTTGTTAGATAGGTATTATGACATCCTCTCCTACAGTTGCTAAAAAATTTCCCATACAGCTCAAGATAAAAACCAAAGTTCTACAACTAAAGGTCTTCTTCGAAAAAAATTCATACATTATAAGAATAATTAAACGACAATTGCATTATAAAAGTCAAATAAGACTTGATAAAAAATTTCTACAAGCGTATTAATTGGTAGTCTGGGGAACCACTCCTGAATTACTTCTCTTTCTTTCTTCTCTTTTTTACCTTACTGCAATTTTCTATAATAAGGGTGTCGTTAGGATTAATTGGAAAATATCTGGGAAAAAAAATACTTTTCAATATGAGACACGATGTCTTTCTTTTTATTGCTGACAAATGATCGATTTAGCCCTTATCTTTATAGGAATTAACGCCTGTTTTTCTTATACTTATTTATTTGTTTATCTCTTTCAACATCTTATCATAGAATTTACAGTTCTATCTTTAGTCTTGAGCACTAGAAATTCTTTTTAAATATTTATATAAGATTATTCCTAAAAATATAAAATAAATATTCTATTATATCTATTTTTTAATTATTCCTTAACATATGATTTGTCAGTATTAGATTATAAATGTAACAATGTATGTGTACGCATATATGATATATGTAAAGTACTACAATCTTTCTCGAAAGGGAACAAATTTACAATGTAGAAAAAAATTTTTTACGGGAAAATAATAAAAGATGAAAACTGCTGTGTAGATAATTAAAAAGCACACTCTCGATTCTCTCTTCCGGTAATTTTTACATCATTGCAAAAGCAATGTTCTCGTATTTATGATCATAATAATCTGTTAGCTATTATTGTAATCTCTTTTTTCTTTCTTTCTTTTTTTTTTAAATAATCAAAACACAAAAAAAGAAACTTCTTATTCGACGATTCTTACCGTCTGTCTGGTTTTGGTTCTTTTTTTTTTGTTTGTTAGATTATATTAGTTTACCTTAATTTCTATATTTCCATTTCGAGTAAAGTTCAGTTTTTCAGACTTAGAAATTCTAAGAATAAATTCTTTACTATTATTTTTAGTCAAGTTGAAACTGTTGTCCCATTCAAAATCTTCCATTGGCCATATATTCCAAAAATCTGAGCTATAGTTATAATGTTTCTCTGCATACTTTAAGTCTGCTCTATCGCTCACGTCGTTATATTCTATTAACTAAGAAATTGGAAGAGAGATTAATTAGCTGTTAATTGAGTGGTAGATTGTTTTAAATAACCATTTAATATTTATTTACCTTATTAAATTGGAAGCCATAGTTATTAAGTATACCCTCTTTACTTTTATTAGGAAAATAAATTGCTCCCGCAGTATCAGTAGAATTTAATAATTTGGAGCAATTTACGTTTAACCAATCACGTCGACCATTTGTTCTTATTACCAGTACACTTGGTTTCCCTATTTAGAATTGAAGATTTAAAATTTTGAGATATAGATAATACAGATAAGTTATTACTAATAATTGTTATTAAAATAGCATATATCATTCTATATTATAAGCTTATGGCACTTGATTATTCTGTCTGATACTTGTGTTTTCAAGTCTTGTAATCTTTTGTTTTTTGTTCACTAGTAAAATTAAGTGTCTAGAAGTAGTTTAGCTGGTGCCAAATACAAACCAATTGTTCCTAATAGGAAGTGGACTACGTCGTCAGATATTTTGCCTTCTAAACGATAGTAAACTAGATTGAGGTGTTTGCTGATCCTGTTTTTGTTTATAGATAATTCTTCATTGAATTTTGAACAATTAAAAGTGCGGATTTCTATCTGCATGAAATATAATTAAATATATTTTGCTATGTCATTTGTATATGCTTTTCTCCTGTTTTACCTCTCTCTCTGTTGCTGCAACGGATAATGCATTAAAGTAAAAAAAACATACAAATAAAATATAGCTTTTCATTTTCCTTTTGAATCATATGACTGTCACGTGACTGACTGGTTTCGGACACCGTAAACAGTGAGAGAAAAAACAACCACTTTGCTAGAAGGCGTAAATGGTGGTTATAAAAAGAATATTCTAAATATGGAGCACTGAACCACTTTAACACTGGGCACGAGAATTTAAATTCACAGCAATTACAGAAAGTAAATACATAACTAGTTTAAATCCTTTCACAAAACAACCAGACGCGTCGATTTCTTTTATTTTGATAACGCCAAACCCTTTTTTTCAAAAATAGGATCAATATTTAAACAGCGACAAATCAAAAGCGTAAAAATATTCAACAGTGTAGACATTAATCGAGCAAATTTCGACCGGCAAACATTGAAAATCGTTGAAAAATAAAAAATTGATATAAGCAATATGGATGCTGAATTACCGAACGTTAATAGTTTACCCGAAGATTTAGAAAAGAATACTAAATCGGTAGTAATTATAGGCCTTAATCAGTCATGAGAGGATTAAGGGAGGCCATTTAGTCGTCGTTTCTATGTATTTAATACAGTAACCAACAACTTTGATCAATTTTTCTCCTTTACCTAGAACGAAGAGATGTTAAGAACGAAGGTTAAAAATCGACCTGTCAAGTCAAAATTGAAAGAGGAGGTTCATGAAGCGGTCAAGGATTATTTGGATAAATTGATTAAGGAGCGAAGTGCTCCAATCGGTGGTCACACTATGGCTGTCAGTAGTCATCAGTTAAAGAACGACGCCAACGAAGCTGTAAGCAAGATAAATTACAAGCTAACTATAACTGGTAAGTAAATTAATAATAGGATTATTCCACTTTGAATAGATACATACAATTCATCTATTAGAATTTTTAACGTTAGTCTCCTTTTTTCAATGCTTTCTATTAAAGAGAAAAATGAAAAAGAAAAACAAATGAATATTTTACTTAATAATATAAAGAAAACTGCAATATCGATTTCTAATATTAATATATTTTCATGTATAATATCAAGCTAACGCTAAATGAATTTCAAATACCTGATTATCCAATTCAATTCTAAATAAATTTTATTATTTAATTAGGTCTTTTTCTAAATGTATAATATAAAGATTATCATAAGTCTACTGACTGATTTATATGTATATATATATATATATACTGTATATCTAACCTTATTCTATATAATTCTATTTCTTAGCTGAGCGAGAAGGAAATCAATTTCTTATATAATTGTTCACAACTATGGATTACAATGCATTTGATAATGTAAATCACTATCACTTCTTTTCAAAAGATTTTAGAACAGTAGATTAAACTCTATGAATAGAATATTTTATAATAATGTAAAAATTCTTTTTCTTTACTAAAGAGTCTAAAAATTCCGTATTCCCACTGTTATAATTACTAATTGAAAGATTAGAGGATTATCTCGGATTATCAGGTTTGACTCTATTAATCCTCTTGTATTCCTTTTCGTGTAAAGGACTATCAGACATCGAACGGTAGGGGAATAATTAATGAAAGGAAAAAATTTTCTTCGTTAATTAATATCCTAAAGCTTCTATGTTTCTCATACAGCAACTCCAATTAGCGTGCGACAACTTCAAGTATCACCATCCCCACAACAAACTAGCGCTATAGACCACGTCATTGACAAATTAGAATTATCGGAGGAAGGGAAAAAAACAGAATTTATAACCATTCCTACGGGCGATTCGGAAGAGAGGAGTCGGCCATCGACCGTAAGACCAAAAAGCCAAAGTCGTAAGTAATTCATAAAAGATTAAACGAAAAAAAAAATTATACACTAGATTTACACAATGCCAACTTTTCAAAAGCTCACAACTTGATAAGGTTGTTTGAAACGACCAACAATCACTTTTGATTGTCAAATAAACAATTGAATGGCAGTAACTCAACAGGCTAAATATTAGGCATATTTTTTTCTAATTATTCTAGGCTTATGAAAAAGAACAAAATTGTCAATAAAAACGCATTAAAAGATCGAATAGGAAATAATAGGCGCTTAGTAACCATTCAAAGTTTAATAGACCAACATGTCTACCCAAAATATTAACTGGTTACTTAAAGTTTTTCGTGATCCATCAGAAGTTCGTCGACCAAAAAGTGTGCCCCCATCATTGATGAGGGAGAGACCCACAACGGGTAGGAAACATCGTAAGGATTATCATTGGTCTATCTGGAAAACAACACCTACCCCACCACCTCCATCTAGTTTGAAAGGGTCACCGCGACCAAAATCGAGAATAGAAGATGTTGTACGACCAAAAACAAGAGCATCTGAAAGAAACGAAGAAGCTACCAGACCTCTCAGCCGAGCTACAGAAATATCTAAGGACGACGAACGAAATGAGATCTTTCATAGTCCTATCCCAGAACCATTTAGAGCAACGGTTCGACCGACTTCAAGAGCCATATATAAGGTAACTATTGAATATATTTAATTAAACTTCTCCTCCCTACAGAAATTTTCCTTTTACTTATTTCTAAAGAATATTTTCTTATAAAGCAAACTCAAAACATTTCCGCATTAAAGAGTCTAATCGATAACTCTAACGACTATGGTATCTATTGATTAATGAGACAGAATTATTTTTATACTTATGGTTTTCTTTTGTTTCTAGAGCGTCAAGTAGCAGTGAATCTATTAAAAGCTTTAGAAAATAGTGGTAAAAGAGCCCAGAGCGCAAAACCTTCAAAATCATATAGCTATGGTATAAGAACAACCTTGGCCGAGCCGAATTTTCCTGGAACGTATGGAGATGAGTCGGGCAGATATTTTAGAATGTTATCTGATAATTTACAAGGGTAAATCTTAAAAGCTTAAAACATGTGGACTAGCTAAATGACAAGTCGATCGTCGGAGTACAAATACTATGATTATAAAAAAGGGGGAGATGGCGCATGCGCATGATAAGGAACGTAATTACGGAATTCTATTTATAGCGTGTTAATTTAGCCTGACTTAAAAAAATAGAAGCATGTATAAACGATATATGTACTGATGTACTGTATATATATATATATATAAATGTACTATATATACTGTATATATCTCATATACCATGTATAGCATATGGTATAAATGTTGGCGGCATATCCCCACTAATAGCTAAGAAAAACCAATAGTTTGCATTAAAACGTTTGTTTATATTGTTTATTCAATCATAAGATCGCAATGATACAGCAAAGTGCGTAAGCATAAGAATATAATGCGAGATAATTAAAACAATCTATCAAAAGGGAAACTTAGAAGTGCGATTATCTACAGTAAGGGATATAACTATGCTTTTTTGATATTTTGTAATTGTACAAAGTTATTTCGGAGGTTTTAACTTTTTCTAGTAATGTTAAATAATTTTCTTACTTTAAGACCTAATTCGATATAGTTATTAATTGATTAAATTCTTTCGTGACTCTTTACCCATCAATTATTTATACGTGAGGTATCACCATAGAGATTATAGAGCTTACAGCTTAGGTAAGATTGAACATTCACTTATAGGACATCGGCTATGGCAGGATCATGGTAAGATTTTATTTTGCTTACGAACATAGAATAATAATCTCTTATAAAAAAGACAAATGATTTTTTTATTAGCTCTCCAGAGTTGTACGGATTAAATAGAACAGTAGTTGAATTATCATATAGTGGGCAGGATAATTTAGATTTTAATCAGTATATCTGCTTACCTGAGAAAGAAGCTAAATATGCTAAACCTAAAGGAGATCTCGCCACTGCTACTAGTATTCTTACTCCGACGATGGTCATTGATAAACAGTTTGCATACTAATTTAAGCTTTAATTATACAAAGTATCAAGAATCAATAGAAATATATTAAAATTCATTATTCATATTCCCATCTCTAGACGTGGTTATGGATTTCCCAGACATGAGGGAGACCATCCTCTGCACATTCATCAGCGAAGAGGACCACCAAGGAAGGATTTCATAAACGAAAGAAGTTTCTTTACGGTAAGCCTAAATAAAATAATCTGTCTACCGTGCTTAATTATTAGTAGTATACGTTTGCTGATAAATTAATTGGATATATAATTGTTTGTGTACAGAATGCTCGCAATCCGTACAAATCATCGTTTGTAATCCATCCGGAATTCGTGTCCGAATCGAAAGAATACTGGAGTTTAAGAAAGAATAATAACCGTTTTTAAGTAAAAAAGGAAAAACTCAAAACAAAGCAAAATTTGTATTTTATGGAAAGTGTAAAGAATCAAAAACAAACACAACAGTATTAAAAAAAAGTATTAAAAAAAATAAAGTTCACTCTCTGCTTATTTGCATTAAAGATTTCAGTTTATTTAAATGATAGACAGCCCTGTTAAAAAAAAAAAGGTAAAAATGAAAGTTAATAGACACCTAGTACGAAATTTTTCATTAACTAATAAAAGATATCAGTCTTACTTTTCTAAAGATTCGCTACTTGCAATTCTTTCGTTCTTGTAGGATAATAATTGGCGGATACTGTTTGATAGACCTTCGGCTATTTCTTCTCCACGACTAATGGAAGCTTGTAATTCGTCGTAGGGAACCTGCTTTTACCGTATAAAATTACGTAACTTATTTTCGGAAAGAATTATAAGGCTAAAATAAAAGTAATTAAATGAAAATGTACAATATGTAAACACAAAGGAAGTAAACTCCTACGTCTGTAAGACAATCTGACTTATTTAATATAGAGCAATACACAAAAAATAGAATACATTATGTTTACATACTAAGCTTAAATTCTTAATTCAAATCATTCTCTTATTCTATGAAAAATTGTCGTACAAGCATATTTCGTTTAAAAATATCCTTTATATTACAAACGCCTACACTGTTGAGGTATTTTGTCTTGAAACTATCAATAGGACGATTACCATAAAAGTATGCTACATGTAAAAAGTCAGCATGACACGTTTAATTGCATTTCCGTAGAAGTTACATTTGGAAAAGTCTTTCGACCATAATTTTTGTTAGATTTCCTAAATGATTTTGCTTTTAAAAGCTTTAAATTGCTTACCTGCTCCTGGTTATGTGTATTTTCTGATGATCTGCAATGAAACATAAGTATAATAAATATGCCTTATCTAAATGTACTGTATATCCGATAGATGGAATCTATCATATGAGTTATATATATATATATATATAAATACTGTATATATAGATATATATATAAAAGTGAACAGCTCTTGTATATAATAATTTAAGTCAAAATATCAAGAGATGATATGTCAATTTCCTGTTCATTAGGTTGAAAATCTATAGAAGTAATCACCGATTGTTAATTTCATCTACAAGCAATGATATGTCAACGTCATTTTCTGTTGCTAATGATGTTGAATCGCTTATTTCTCGATTGTTATCAAACATTCCAGGATAAAAACATCTTTCGGCTCTAGCACATAGCTCTTGCGTCTTTTTTAAAAGCATTTCTGTAGTTTCATCTTCTCCGCTGGTCCAATTAACAACTTCAAATTCGTTCCGAGAACTCGCTATACTAGATACGTCATCTTCGATTTCTTTGATCAATTGCCTCACAAATAAACGCCTTCTTTCATTTTCCGAACCAAACTCGTTGGATATCTCTCTTTGAGTGTCTGTAGATTCTGTATGTGGTTCTTTAATTGTTGAATTCATATCACCTATAGGAGAGAGCCCATGTACAGGATCAGTTAATTTTATTGTCTTGTAATTCATTGGTGTACTAGTTATTTGGAGTGACTCGGAGAAATCGTTTGATATGGATTCGTCTTGATTGTTATTTAAAATAAGACTTTTTTCTGATAATGTTGGTGTAGCAAATAACTCAATCAATTCCCTTTCATACCTATCTTTCACCTAATTAAACACAGAAAATCAAATAGATGTTTAAATTTAAAATTTAGATTAATACCTGACTTGCAACCTTTCCCTCATATTCATTGATGTAGTCTTCCAGAGCAGTTGAAGCCGAATAATACATTTTATCGTGAAGCATTGTCAATTCTTTTATTTTAGTTTGTTGTTGGGAATTTGTTGTTGCCATGCCCCCTTTATCGCTCAAGATATCGATATTTCTCTCAGAAGTTAAATTGTTAAAAGTAATTTATATGATTGAAAACAAAATATTAATTTAAAATAAAACTATCAAAATATGTTAAATAATTTTAAAAACTAAACTAAATCTAATTTTTCACTTATGAATTAGATTGAAGTAATTGAGGAATGTTAGTTTACTATCGTACCAGGTGTACATTCTTGATACGCATCTATTTTGCCGATATTGACGTCATATTTGAAACATTTTGGCGGTGTTATAAATTAAAAATAAATAGGAAATCTATGAAGTATTAATTAAAGTACAGCAATAAAATAAGACTTTAATAGAAAATGCATTTTTTTAGGAACGAAATCTATATATTGATAGTTCGTAGACAGTGGTGCAGTGATACAATAGTTCCATCTATATTCTGAAATTTACAATGAAAGAACACTAATATATTTCTCTGTAATAAAAGCTTAGAATATTGAATAAATGATGAGTAATGGAACTATTATTTCTATTGAATTAACTGTGAATATAAGAAGTTTTACGCAAATGACTGTTTTGAAAGAGGTGACGAAATCTCTCAAGACATTTTATTGTCTAAGAAGGAAGATAAAGATGAAATTTCATCTAAATTCAGCATCTATAACAAAGAGTTTATTAGTGATATTATCAAGTAAACGGAGACTAATATATACAAAATATAAGAGTTTTTTAAAGAGAAAATAACATCATCATCATATATGTTCAAAAAGCTGAAAAGACTAATGAGTGATTAAATAAGAGATAATTTATTTAATTAAGACATAAAAGGAATAAGAATGGGATTTCAGTTTATACGCAATCAAAGTTCATCAAATGACAATAAACAATCTGCCTTAATTGAAAAAGAAGAGGCAATGATTGTTAACAATTCAAAATATTTCTCCATATCCGCCTATAAAAAATTAAGCAATTTTGAATGCCAAGTATCCAGACAGGATATCTATTATAGTAGAGCAAAAATTATTGATAGCGGATCATTCGGTATTGTATATAAAGCTGAATTATTAATAGATTCAGAAAATAATCCTAATTTAAGAAAAACCCAAATAGTTGCAATAAAAAAGGTGTTACATAACAAAAAGTATAAGAATAGAGAGTTAAAAATTCTAAATATCCTTCACCATAAACATATTGTTGAATTGTTGTATTACTTTTATTCTGTTGGTGAAAATTCAAAAGAAGTTTACTTGAATTTAGTTATGGAGTATCTACCTTATACTTGTTATAAAGTAATGATATGTATTTAACATTTATCTTTACTATAATTGAATTTTTTTTAATAATTCAGGTAATTAGACATTATTATAAAATGAAAAAGTATATGCCTATGATTTGGGTTAAAATTTTCTCATATCAAATTCTTAGAGGGTTGGCTTATATGCATAGACAAAACTTTTGTCATAGAGATATTAAACCGCAAAATTTACTTATTGATGATGGGAATTCAGTACTAAAAATTGGCGATTTTGGTTCGGCTAAAGCTCTTACTGAGGGGGAAAAGAACATAACTTATATATGCTCCAGATATTATAGAGCACCAGAATTAATTCTTGCAACTAATAATTACAATACTAAGATTGATATTTGGTCAACTGGATGCGTTATTTGTGAGATGATCTTAGGTTACCCAATTTTCGCCGGTGGGAATAGTGTAGATCAGCTAGTTGAAATTATTAAAGTTCGTGGAACGCCAAAAAAAAATGAGGTTAATTTAATTATCTTTTTTTCGTGAAGTAGATGGCAGCACATAACTAATGAAATGATATATCATCAGATTAAAAGTATGAATATAAACTATGAAGAATTTCAATTACCTGAAATAAAGCGACAGTCACTTTTGAAGGTTTTCAATGCTAATCAGCTACTCGTTAATGATTCACAAATAACACAGCTAATAGATAGCTTATTAACTTATAATCCAAATCATAGACTAACCGCAATGGAGGCAATGGGCCACGAAGTTTTCAAAAGTTTACTAACTGAGGAGAATAATTCAAAAAAACTAATTATGTCGAAGCAGGATAAGCAAGGCTCTGAAATATTCCCTAAAATGTTTGACTTTGATGAATTAGGTATGTTACTGTTTAAATCTATTTTTAATATAAATTTTTTAAACTGTTTAAAATTGGTTTCCTATTCTTCCCCCTTTTTTTATCAAAAGAACTAAAAGACTTAAAAGAACAAAAAGACAAATTATTGCTTTCTTTGCAACCAGACAATGATGATATTGATTCGAAAATTAAAAATCTAAACAACTTGGAATCGATGATAGAAATAGAAAGAAAACTTGCTTGAAAATCAATTATGCGGAAGTATTGAGAGAGAGATATATTAGCATAAAATGATAGGCATCTTGCATATATTTTTCATTAAAATACAAGTCTTTTCTCCTTTTATGAGTTATAATACACTTCTTGATGGAAACGTTTTACATATCGAATACCTTTTCTAAACCTAAATTCCCTTATAGCTTTCCAATGTTCTTAATTCTATAAGTTACCATACTTCATAAGAAAAAGAGAATAGGGAAGAGCGTTTGTTCTGTTGTTCATAATTGATAGTACTTTCTATCCCTAGCTATTTTCTAAAAGGTAAAAAAGAGTCCATAACAAGTTTTTCAAAAGCCAATATCATTATCGTTACCCCTGCTTTCCAAAAACAAAAAGGCGTAAGAAAACAATGATATTTTAGTTAAAATCATGTAAATGTAAGAAGTTTCATTTAATCTTTCTTCTGTTCACTATCCTATCATCTTAAAACTTTTCTGTGATGTGTTATAATAAAGTAGTGACATAGTAACGCAGACATTCATTCATTAGTTTTTAAGCCTCATTACATTTCTATATATAAAATTTCTATTTTGAAAATGCTTATTTAATATTCCGAATATAATAACAAGAAACAGTTAAAGATAACTCGGTAAGTCATCTTTTATTATAATAGCCTAAGCTAATCGTTTATGAAATACATATATACAGTATATATATAGATTTACTGTATTCAGTATATGTATAATGACAGGGAGAGATAGTTACAAGTGAATACTAATAATAGATGGTCGTAATATGCGATAATAAGTGGAAAAAAAGTTGAAATGAACAATATCTGGAATATATACTTTTATTTTATATCAACAATCATACAATTTCAATTCCGGTTTTCTTGACCAGGAATTTACAACAATTGTAATCATATTTTTGTTACCCAGTGCATACTAGGTGCCAATATCTGATACAGAGATACTGTAGATACAACATATATACTCCTATTGGAATTATAGAAATATATATTTATATATATATATTGTCTTACATTGATTAGAGTTTGTGCAGCTGTGTGTCTAGGTATGAGCATATATTTATTTATATTATCAAACCTTCCTTGTCAATCTAGATTTTTATAGCTTTAAATATACAGTTGTGAAAACCAGTGTGAGCTGAATTTTGGTGCCTAATTTTAAAATTAGGTGCTGTTCAGGAAAGGATTTTATCAGGGCTTTTCTTAGCTTATACTTGATGGTCCAACTTTGGTTACTTCGCTTTTAGTCATCGTTCCGAATACTAAATCTTCTTCAGAGATAAAGAATAGGGCGTAAATCTTGGGTATAAACAAACAAAGTAGGGTTAAAGTTGCGTTGATAATTAAGCATATTGCCAAAATGATAACTTTATAATACACATAAAACATGGTAAAATATGTGGGTAAAAAGACTATCCACAGAAATATGGTCGTTGCCACGGAAACAAAGATATACCAGGATTCGTTAAAATTTTCGGGTAATTTTCTTGACAAATAACCATAAATACCGCATAGTAACAGCAAAAGGATATTAAACGACAAAGGTAAAATTAACGCCGGTAAAGGATTGGTACAAGTCAGTTCAACTTGTTTTTCGATTTCTACTCTTTGAATTCTTTCCGATCCGGGTTTCCACAATATCAAACTTACAATGACGAGAATTAATTCGATTAAAACAATGCATAAAGTAGCCGATAATTGAGCTTGATTGCTTACAAATTTTGGTCGCTGTTTACCCTTTGATCCAGCCTTGAAAATTCTGTATACCCTTTGTGTTTTCAGTAGCAGAGGTGCATAAATAATGCATACTGTCATGTGAAATCCAATCCGATTAATTAGGCAGATTGTAAAAGATGGTTTACTGATAAAAAGTAATACAGTAATATAGCCAAGAGTACTGCCAACTAAGATAGTAGCTGATAGGTGTCTAGACGAGGCCTTAATTATTTTCTCGTGACTATATAATTTATAGATGGCTATTATGATGATATTAAGAATAAATCCGAAGCATGCAAGAAGTAATAATAATATAGCCAAAGGATCTTTCCATTTAACATATTCAACTTCAATTGCCAAGCATCTTGTAGCAGTTTCAGAATCTGGCAGAGGGATGTCACTTATAAATGTTTGTTGAAAGACTTACATCTTATCTTATTAATAGTTTGTAGTTTGTTTTTAAATATTAATTATCTGTTTGAAGAGAATAATGACAGTACTCTGAATCTTTTAAAAGATATACATTATAATTAATACCATTAAACTTTCTTAACCTTCATAGTTTTAGAAGAATTTTTACCCTTCTGAAAAAAGGTATTTTTTAAAATTAAAGACCCTCTTAAAACTTTTCATAATATTGATATTTTTAAACCAGAATAATGCAATTATATTAAATTTTGTCAAAGTAAATAATTAGATAATTAAAAAGGGATTTAAAGAGACGTCCTGAATCTTTCTCACTTTTAAACATATCTAATATTTTGAGAGGAAGTATATAAAACATGTTAATATACTAATAATGTCATTGACCGAAGAAGACAAGTAATGAAAAGAGTACTCAAGCTGAAATTTTAGATATTTTTACTTTCCAGTTTTTACTTTCCAACTCTACATTTACTCTTGACAAAAGATATTTTTGTCCTTTCTTAAATTTCTTTAAGTTTCATATACTGATAATTGATGAAATTTCATATTTATAGAAAATTCATTGGTGACATCCCTGGCCAAAAAAATTTGGGGCAAGTTTCGCATTCAGTCTTGTTTTCGGATAAGATTTCGTTTTCTCTACATTTCTTACATAACCAACAACAAGCCAACTCTTGTTGTAGATATATATGTTTTGGTGGGCATGGTTTACTACAAATTGACTCTATGTAACTAAGATTCTTATCCATTTGTAAAATTTCACCATCTTTTTTCCATTCACCAACAATTCTTTGATTCCAAGTTGCATTTTCCCAAGTATATTGAAATATTGTATATTCTCCAAGCATATCGCCTTTAACATCGAATTTATATTGAACGCCGGATGTAGCTTTAAACTCTTGCTGTCTAAGATACTTTAATACCGATTCTCCAGTTACACAGTCCTATTTAAAGGTAATCGATCAATTTAGAGCATACTTCTATATACTTACATTTTAGAAAAACAATCTACATCTTATAAATTTCCATAAAGAATTATAAGAATACAAGACTCATACAATTCGATACTGAAATAGACGGATATTACCTTGCGCATAGGAGAATTTGCACCAATTATCTTTAAATATCATTTAATAAATGATATTGTAACATTAAGAGTACAAATTTTTCTTATGCGATTATAAATACAATCTATTTAAGAGCCCTTGATACTAAATAAAGAAAATTTTTCCTTTTCACCTCTGCTGATAGCCATTTCTTTGATCTTTTTAATAATTTAAATATAAACTAAATAGGCAAATGCACCAGTTTTCGATTAAGCTGCCACTCTTAAAATACAAAAAAACAAAAACATTGAATTCCTTAGGTTTTATACGACTGTCTTATGATATTTAAGAAATTTCACTCTTTTAAGTAAAATAGCATTTGCTGATTAAATCCCCCTCTTGATTCTGGTTTACTTTTTGTTTTCCTTTTTTGAACTCTGCTAAATAGCTTTTAACAAATTAAACCAGATCGAAACTTGTCCAAAAAATATGATTAACAACCTTTGATAGACTCTTGTTCAGAAAGGCTTCGGGGCAGTTCTCCGAGATGAGACTATGCAAAGCTCTTGCGTATACCTCGACACCATCTCCAACCTTGAGAGAAAATTTGAAGTCTCTGCTAGTAAGACTATTAATATCTCCCAATGACTTATACTTCGAACAAGTGGTAGAGAAATTACATTTGCCTGCTTCTTCCCACAAAGATTTTATCCATGCATGATCAGATTCTGATCGTTGTTTAGTTTTTATTAAATCTTCAAAGCTTGTATCTCTACCAACTTTATAAAAGAAATGCAAAGTTCCATGTTGAATTTGTTCAAATCCTGGAAATCGCCTGTATGAGTCGGCAGAAAAAAAGATAAAATCACTTTTTTTGCTTCCAACTTGATATAATGCTGTAAAGAGATCTTCTCTAAATTTATGAGACATTATAAGGACGACTACTTTCGCATTTCTATTCTCCAAAATCTTCTCGGCAATTGTTATATAATTTTCAGAATAATCAGAACTTAATCGAACAGAATTTCCGATACAAATACCATTTGCTCTGGCGATTTTCTCAATGCTCTTGGCAGCAATTTCTCCGTAAGAGCCTTCCGAGTAGAGAAGTTGAATGTAACTCCACTTGAAACGAACCATAACGCTTACCATTGCTTGAGTTATGAACGAATCTGGTGGTGCAAGACGAGAAAAATATTCAAAGCGAGCTTTATCTGATAATTCATCCGATGTTGCAAATGTAGCCAGAAGAGGAATTTTAAATTGAGATGCTAAAGCTGCTGCCGGAATAGATTGAGCAGAAGAAAATGGTCCTACTATTCCCACAACTTTTTTTTCGGTTGTTCTAGTTGGACATTTATCCGACATAAAATGATTTAATCTGGCTACGGCTCCGTTGACTCCTCCACAAGTATCGAGGTAAAGTAATCCCAATGTGACATTTGGCAAGAAATTTGGATCCTTATTGATATTCTTTATTCTTAACTCTGCTAGTTCGGCCGCAAGAACACCGGAAGGACTTACTTTACCTTGACAAGATAATGCTTCATTTCCTGAAGAATGATCGGAATGAACTGAATAAAGTACTCCGATTTTCACTTCTCCGTCTACTTCCCACTCATTCCCAACAAAACCTGGGATAAGTGGATAACTCTTGACAAAAATGATGAAATTTGCTAGGAAAATCACTATCATCTCTTTATGAGACATTAGTTGCAAAATTTTCTTGCTGCTAATGACAAATAAATGATCGCGCATGCACATAAATTTATTTTATATAAAGGTTGTGCATTTCATTATAGTAAATAGCGATTTCAAATGAATAGTGTATCACATGACAGGATGCAAAAGTACTTTTTATAGCAGTTGATATCTTAATAAGATGTCACACATTATAAAATATCCTAACTTAGAAAACGTACAATCACGTATCTATTTCAAAATTTCATCTTAATTTCATTATTACGAAAAGAGGCTTCATTTGTTATTTTCATTGTATACAGCATATACAGCAGATATACTAATATTTATATACTGTATATATATACTGTATATATACGTATTAGTATATACACTGTATATATAATGCCTTCCTCAGTTAAATATTAAGCCGTAAGTACGTGTTATCAACATTTTGCTCAGTTTTATATCTATTATTAAAAAGTAAAAGGCATTGGTACTCGTCTTCGGAAAACGTCAGATTTTCTATATAAATTCTTTCCCTCTGTTCCAACCCAACTAATGGCCAGGAAAAGTAGAAAGAATAAGACTAAGAGTATCTATACTACAAACAGTTTTATTAGGAATTTAATTAGTAGAAAACGCCATTTTTGCGGTCTTTTCATCACTAGCTGTAATGGAAATGTTATTTCAGTGATATTGTAAAAACTGTTGCGCCATCTATCGAATGTGATATACATAATTTAAACATATATTTTATATATCAAATGTATAAAATAAGAGATTTCTATGAATTAGGCCACAGATTTTTAATATCCCTTTATGATTTTCCATTAACTCATATCTTACATAATTTGTGTATTTATAATATTAAAATTCAATTAAAATGAGTGATTTAAGATCGACTTAGTGATAATTAAATCCTAATAATTAAAAGAGATAATGTTAGTCTTAGTCATAGTATTAGTAGTAATTATAGCCTGTTGTTATTTTAGTACCAAAAAAGAAAATTAAAGAATTTTACGTAATGCGCTTAAGTATTAACATCAAGAAAGAAAAATCTCCTTTAATTCATTTTTAAACGGAAAGTTAAATTTATAATTTCATTTAAAGATTCTTTTACTTTACAATTTTAGTAAATAAAATATCCTTTGATAAGCCAATTTTTCATATTCATCTGACTTTTATCATTTCTTTTTTTAGTTTGTACTCTTTAGAAAAAAAGTGACACAGCGATCTATTTTTTCTCTTTTATCTTTTTTAATTTGCATCAAGCAGGAAAGGAAATAGTTAACAGAGTATAAAGAAAAAAAGCTCCAATATATTGCTATAATAACGTCAAAGAGTAGGCCTTAACTTTTAGCCAAAAGACCATCACGTAAGTGTAACACCACAGTACTCAAATATAGGTGCACAATTACCTTTAATGTTCTAAGGATATTAAAAAAGTAAAATAATGACTTTTTCTTAAGTAAGGAGAAAATTTTGTTAGTTATTGTTTGTTAAAAAAACTGATCGATAACCTTTAAAAGTGATTTATTGTTGAAGGCGTCAGGACAGGAGGATTCTATTAAATCCTTAATTGCTTTTGCGTATACTTCTACACCATCTGAATATTTCACTGCCGAACTAGAATATGGGTAGAGCGTTGTATTAGAAAAATTTGAATGTTTTAAACAAGAAGTTGGATCAGTAGCGTCAAGTGTATAATTACATCTCCCTAATTTTTCCCACAATTGTTTCTCCCAATGATGTTTAGCTTGTTGAGGTTTAAGAGAGTACATGTAATTGGCAAAATCATGATCAATGCCACCATCATAGATTATTTGTAAAGTTCCATTTTGGCGATGTTCATAGTTCGATATTCTGCCGAATGAGTCGACGACCATAAATATAAACTGCTCACCTTTAGATATTTTTTCTATAGCTGTAAGAATGTTTCTCATATAGTAACTGCCTGCTATCATAGCTATAACTCTAGCTTTCTTGTGCTCAATAAGCTTTTTAGCAATGGCTTCATAGTCGTTTGAATCGTCAGCATTAAGCCTATAGCTATATCCTATACATATACCTCTTTTCTTCGCATTCTTCTCTACCCCTTTAGCAGCATTTTCTCCATATGATCCTTCAGCGTATAGTAACTGAATATAGCTCCACTCAAACTCTATCATAAGCTGCGTCATGGCTTCAGTTGCAATAGAGTCGGGAGGAACCAGTCGTGAAAAATATTGAAATCGTGACTTATCGGAAAGTTCTTCAGAAGTTGCAAAAGTTGATAGCAACGGTAGCTTAAACTGAGATACCATACCCGCAGCTGGGACGGCTTGTGAACTAGATCCAGGTCCAACAAGACCGACGATAAAAGAATTTTTACTTAAAGTGATAGGTAAAAAATATTCAAGAACTGACAACTCTCATTTTCATTAAAATGTACGTTTCTTTCCTTATTTGAAGATGAAAGGAATATTCTTCTTTTTGTTTTTTTTATCTAAATCGTTTAAAAGGTGGTAGCAATTTCTTTCGCATCTAATTTACACGAAAATTATTTTAGGAAGAACAACACAAAGTTTGTTTTGCTTCTATCTACGTGATCCCTTTCATTTAAAATAAAACTCATACAGTTTATGGATTTACTCTGCTTATTAAGTGTACCTACTCTAACTTCTAAGGTATTGTATGCACAGAAAAAGACTACTTAATCTATACAATAGTATAACTTTCCTTACTCAATAGTGTTTACATACAGTTTAGTATGCATGTCCGAAATATGATACATACATTTATATAGGAATATATAGATGTAAGTAACTGTAATATATACTTGTGCATATGTATATACTGTAGTTATAAACACATTCGTTCGTACATGCACACATACTAATATATATATATTGCATATTTATAGAATTGATGTACTTATAAACCGTTGTTTAAAGGATATCAAAATATATCAAAAGGTATTCACTTTGATTATTTGTTGCTTTTTTTACTTTTTAGGTATTCTTTTCAAAAAAAATAAACGAAACATTTTACAATTGTTTATAATTAAATAATTCGCTCATTGTGAAATATTTTTTACCTTGGCACTGAACAAGACAATGGAAGTAATTGAACAACTCTGGAAACGGGACCGTTTGTTGTACCACACGCGTCGAGGAATATAAACCCCAGAGTAATATTTGGCAAGAAATATGGATCATTATTAATTTTATTTAAAATATACTGTGTTCTCTTTCCGATTAATACGCTGGAAGTACTTATCATACCTGTACATGGCCCTCTTGAAGTTGTTGAGTGAGCTGAAGTGATAATACCAATATTGAGATCTCCTTCTTCTCGCCATTCAAATTCTGGTCCATTCGGAAAATCTGGTATCACGATTTCAGAGCCAGTATGATGGAAGTTAATAATAACTAACAATAGGTATGTTAGTTGGTGCATTGCTTACAACTATCTAATGAACGATGAGAGTCAGTATATGTAGTGCTATTGCTTAGCATAAATTAACAACAATTTTGGAACTTATAGCTTGGAGTTGATAAAGTTTTTTGTGTTTATTTTTCACTATTTATCTTTGAAAATTTAGTGTAAGAAACTGTTTTTGAATTGGACATTTCATGTTTCCCTTTTAACAAACGAGATGTACAGATCAGCTTTTTTTATTTCTTCTAATGATGTTTTGTATTTGCACTGCCATTTGTAATTACCATTTAGCACTTATTTTAATTTTTAGTTCTTTTATTTATTAGAGCAGCGCTTAATAGTATAGATTTATCATTACCTCAGTAAAATAACATAAGTTAAAAGGAAAATGACTGAGAGCTAAGACTCGATATCCTTTAAATATAAATAAGAGAACCACGAAGAGAATACATCTAAAGATAGAAGGGAGGTGTGGGTAAAAAAATACGCACATACAGTATATATATGCAATGTACTTTGTCCTTTATTTTCTTTGGAAATAAATCGTTTTTTCTTTTTCTATTAGAAATCAACGTTTCTTGCTTTGTACTTTCATATGTATTCAATCTCTGTGATATTTTGTTCTCTTTAATAGATTTCTTATCTTCTCTTTGTCTGTTATCTTTCTCTTTTCCTTTCTCGCTCTAATGTACGGCAAAGGAAGTTTACCAATCGAATAGAAAAAATTACGTGTCTTATTGGATTACCTTCTTACTTGATTAATTTTTTTCCCTCAGAAAATGATTTATCATTCCACTCTCAGCAAGCGATTTGTTAGTTCATATCTATTATATGTATCTCATAGGCCTAAGGCACACCAAATCAGCAATAGAAATATTACATTTTACATGACAACTTTCTACTTTTGGCTCTTTCAAAAAATTTTGTAAACTCTCAATAAGTACCAATTATCTTTAGCTCATTAGCATATACATCTTCTATTTTTTGTTTATGTTTGCGTGTGTATGTATATGTGTGTATAGTTGTTTTTTCTATATTACGTTTATATTTTATTCATCGTAAGTAATTAAACGTTTTAATTTATTCATTCATTAAATGGTTATTTTAAAAACTTTATAGAAGCTATATATAGACTGCCCTCTTCAATAGTAGCGCTTACTCTTTGAAAAAAAGTATGAACCTAATGTATCTATATATGCTGTACATACATACAATTTATCTAAGCTATTGTTATACGCCATCTAGAGTGCCTAAGAGCGATTTAATTTCAAAAGGATTAGTTATCTTTTGCTGAATAAACTTAGAAGATGACATATTATAAAATATATGAAAATTTTTATTTTTTCATTGTACTAAATATATACTACATATGTTTATAATGAGACACATACTTAATTTGACCAATTAATTAACTCTTTTTCCCAACATAATTTAATCAAGACTTTCTAATTAGTAATAAGCGAATGAAGAATATGATTGTCAAAGGCCGGGTACTCATATGTACAAAGGAAATTTTAGATTCAACCTTTTTAAGCCATTTAATGAATATCGAATGTCTTTTAAAGTTAGCACAGAAAATATATACACAGTAGTCATGCAGCTTTGTTATTTCTTCAATAAACTCAAGCGAAAGTTCAACAAAGAGATGTTATTGCGTTTAATTTTTACATCATACAAGATGTAATTAAAAAAAATGATTATTCATAGCTTTCTTTTTTTTCATGGCGATTAACTACTTCTCTAAAAGCTCTTTTTTTGTTTATCTCGTGCTACTTATACTAAGAAAATTTATATACTAATACATGCGTCATACTATATACTTATAAAATTTAAAATTGATCGATAACCTTCAATATGCTTTTATGTTGAAAAGCCAGAGGACATTTAGAGATAACAAGATCATGTAGTGCTTTGGCATAAACCTCTAACCCATCTCCGTATTTTGCGGTTATGACGTAATTTGTTAATGAAAATGCACTCCCCACTTCCGAGAATTTTGAGATATTTTGACAAGTTGTTGTAAAGTTGCAATTTCCAGTTAATTCCCATAGTTTTTCTATCCAATAGTGATTAGCATCAGATGGTTTTAAAGAATTTACATAGTTATGAAATACAGGATCCAGCCCATATTTAAAATAAAATTGTATGCTTCCTTGAAATTGATCTTCGTATCCACTAATTGGAGAAAACGAATCCGATGCAATAAAGATAAACCTTTCTGGCCGTTTACTTTTGCTTAAAGCGGATATAAACTTTCGAACATGTGATCCAAATGCAATTAGTACTATTACCTTGGCCTTTCTATTTTCAAGAACTTTTCGGGCTATATAACTGTAGTCATCTGTCATATCTGAACTAAATCTATACTTAAAACCAATACAAATACCCTTTGCTTTCGTATTTTTTTCAATACTCTTAGCTGCATTTTCACCATACGAACCTTCAGAATACAGTAATTGTATGAAAGACCATTTAGAATCTTCTAACAATTGCGATATTGCTTCCGCCACAACAGAATCAGGAGGAACAAGACGAGAGAAATATTTGAATCGTACCTTATTTGACAATTCTTCAGACGTTGCATAAGTTGACAACAAGGGCAACTCGTATTGAGATCCTAGAGCAGCAGCTGGAACAGCTGACGAAGATGAACCTGGTCCAAGCAAACCTACATAGTTCTCATCTTCTCTGTGGTAATAAAAGTTTTTCATAGGTATTGCAAGTTACTACACTACTTGTTGTAATAAATCACGTTATTTAGCGAAAGTTCACTCACCTTATTTGAGGACATGCTTGAGGAAGAAATTCAATAAGACGCGAGACCGCTCCATTTAATTGATCGCAAGTGTCAACAACTTTGAAGCCAAGTGTCAAGTTAGGTAAAATTTTTATATCGGCATTTATCTTTCCAATTGTATATTGGATTTGAAGAGGAGCCAGTAGAGACCAAATCGAAGGTGTTTTTGAACATAGTCCTTTATCGCTGGATCCATGTACATTTATAAGTATTCCAATATTTAGATCTCCATATTCAGACATTTCCATTTGTTCTGAATATGGAAATTTTGGTATTGGAATTAGACAGATGCATCCAGTAAGAAATAAAAGACGAAGGATACACTTGCTCTTGATACTCATACTCATTTATCTTCATTACGACTGAAAGATGTAATATTATTAACATAATGTTAAGATTACTAATTCTCTTAAAAAGTCATTTTTTATATAAAAGAACCTTCATTTTGCATTAACTAGCTACTCCAAAGAAATCACAAGCCTTATATCCGATTGTTCTTCTCTTTCAACTACAGCAGAGGAAATTTCGAATAGTATGGCCCAAACTTCCAGCCTAAAATGATTTTTTATACCTACTAAGTGAATTATTATATTTCTGACTTTTTGTCAGTGTATGTTATTCTTAGATTTCTTTAGCACACACTATCGGCAATTAGGAAAGTGAAAACTAGAATTTTTGAAAGTGTATTATAAGATAAACTGGGCGTTGTCTCTTATTAGCTTTTCAAAAAAACGAAAACTATAAAAAGAAGTACTTAAAAACACTAAAACTAAAAAATGTCATCTTTTACGTGATATTCAATATCTATTCATTACCTTACCAAAGTTACAACAGTAAAAAAGTTGGAAACTGAAATGTAAAATGTAGAAAAAAGACCTGTTTCGAATGGGGTTCAGTTTGATTAACAACTATTCAATTCTTAGATCACTTCTATTCTCAATGAAAGGATTCTTATTCTTTTAATCTGATTATGCATTCTATATATAGAATTTTAGCTAATTGAAAATCGAGAACTTCAATCTAACACATATTATATTCAACAAGTTTGCAAATCAATGGAAAGAGTGTGTTAAAACCTTATGGTATAAGTTTTTCAAAGAAGGTGTTGTAGAAAAATATATAAAAGACTATACAATTATTACTAAATCTGTTAAGACAAATGCAGTGGAAGTTAACTTGAATTTACAAAAAGTATAATATTTTAGATAAATTTTATGTGCAGACTTGGGCAAAGAATCTGGAATGAGAAGCTTTAGGAGAACAGAATACTCATCTTCTAAAACTTTTCAATTCCTACAGACGTGACAATACTGAACATCATATCTGGTAAAATTCCTTTCCATGTAGTCGATATTGGGACGCTAATAGTACAGCACTTACATAGTCTTTGTACTTCCGTGGAGCGTTATAATAAAACATAGGGAAGATTTAAGAATAATGCTTCAATAATTTTTTCTTTCTTGAAAAATACACTTAGTCTGTTTTGCAGTTAAGGCAACTTAGAGAGGATTATAGAAAGAAGACTCTCTGTATCTTGCTATTTTACGTATTCATCCTGTATATCTTGGCAGGTCAGAGCTTTCTCTTGGTGCTTATGTAGCTCAATGATCGGTAAACAGATGAAATAGTAAGCTTTATAAAGTATCTAATGAATAAACATGATAATTAAAGTTTATCTTGCTTTCTGTAATTTCACAATAGGGAGTGATCAATGATGAAATCCTTGTAAAGGAGAGAGAATTTAGATGATTTGGAGAAAATTGAATACTAACAAGGTAAACCCAAGTAAGAATTGTTATATATATTAATTTATAAATATTAGAGATTGTTTTAATATCCTAGGAAAAGACCCTTCTTGTCAATAACCTCTAAAAAGCTTATTAATTATAACAGAATGATTAATAACACTAAAAAATCTAGAAAAACTAGAAAACAAAAAATTATCTAGGTCATTCTTTAATAATGTTATTCCTTTAATTTTTTTCAACATCTGACATACCTTAAAAACGAAGGAGTATTATAATATCAAACTTAACTCAGGTTAGATACAATTTACTTAAAAATATTATAAATTATTCTTATTTTATTAACAGAATCTAACTAAAATTATAAGAAGCAAGCAAGTAGCATACATATTAATTTTGTTAGAGAGCCAATAGGTACAAAATATCTTTACATCTTACCGGTAAATATGTCTAAAAGTCTCATATTTCGAAAGAAAAATGATTAAAGAATCTTAAAATATCAGATAGGTATCAAAAATTCGTTTACATCAAGTAAAACATAAAGCAAACTAATACAAACTAAGTCCCCTTTTATAATATTAAATACATACCAATGCAATACAAAACACTAATAATATTTCTTAATTAGTTTGTACCCTATTTATTGAATTAATAACATATAAATAAGTGGTATAAAGAATACAGCATGGATTGTAATTGAAAGTAATAATTCTTTATTTTGAACATCTCTGACAAACATTTGAAATATGTGTGCTATAACATATAGAAACACTAAAAGTTGTGGACTAAAAGTTGTGAAGAAATCTAACTAGTCGTTTCGTTAACCGAACTTGGAGCAATTTTGGATCCTTTACTACTTTCAATGTTTTCATCGTCAACGAAAAAGATCGCATATATTTTAGGCAAAAATAGGCATAGTAACGTAAGAATTCCATTAGTTATGAGGCATATTCCAAGAATTATAACCTTGTAATAAACATAAAACATCGTAAAGTACGTTGGCAACAATACTATCCATAGAAATATTGTTGTTGCAACTGACACAAATATATACCAAGATTCATTGAAATTCTCCGGTAATTTTCTAGTTAGATATCCTAATGTGACGCAACATAGCAAAAGAAGTACATTGAATCCTACAGGTATAGCTAACGAAATTGGAGGACTATAACAAGTCAATTCGACTCGTTTCTCAATTTCTATCCTTTGTATTCTTTCCGAGGCAGGAGGCCACAATACTAAACTGACAACGACCAAGGCAGCTTGTATGCCAATTATAATAAGAGTGGTAATCATTAAAGATCGATTGCTGGTAAGACTGGGTCTTTGTTTACCCCTTGATCCAGCCCTAAAAATTCTATATACTCGTTGAGTTTTCATGAACAGGGGCGCATAAATGAATGTTGCACCAAGGTGAAACCCAATTCTATTTAGTAGACATGTCGCCAGCTCTGGTTTTGCAACTAACAATAAAACACTTATATAACCTATTGTACTTCCGCAGATGATCATTACAGAGAAATGTCGGGACGACGCCTTTATAATCTTTTCTTCCCTATAGATGGTATACAATACAATAATAACTACATTGCCTATAAGTCCTATTATTGACAGGATTAATAAAAGAAGACCCAACGGATCTTGCCATTTTACGTATTCATCTTCTATATCGTGGCAGGTCAAGGCTTCATCTGAGTCTAAAATCATTTTATACCACATTAATTGTCAAACTCATAAGTTATCTCATAAAATGACATTTTCTTACCTGGCCATAGAAATTCTGGACATTTCTGGCATTCTGTTTTATTGTTAACCAGGATCTCATTCTCCCGGCAAGTTCTACAAAGCCAGCAACACTTTAGATCTTGTTGAACATAAATATGTTTCTTTGGACATGGTTTGCTACAAATTGACTCTATTTCCAGATTTTCAAACATATTGAGCTCTTCTGTGACTTTAGAATATTTACCAACTACATCGTATTCCCATAGCTTATTCTTCCAAGTATATCTTTGTATGAAATAATCACCCAACATGTCACCTCTGTCATTAAAACTGTACTTTACACCACTTAGAGAAGTGAATTTTTGCTTTCTCAGGTATTTTAAAACTCTTTCTCCAGTTATACAACCATTGCTTAGAATACTTTTATCTTTGAATGCGTCAGGGCATTCATTCGTTATCAAATCATGAAGAGCATAAGCATAGGCATCTATACCATCTGCAACTTTAATTTGAGCAGATTTTAAATTTGGTTTAACATCGGACATCTTATTGTATTTTTGGCAAGTGGTTTCAAAATCACAATTTCCATAATGTTCCCAAACTTTTCTTGTCCAATATATAGTAGGATCCGAAGGTTTCAGATTATTGAAGTATTCTTCAAAAACAGCGTCTTTACCTCCATTATAAACAAACATTAAACTACCCTCTTGCAGATGCTCATATCCAGGTTCTCTACCGTAAGCATCAGCCGCTACAAATATAAATCTTTCATTTGGTGCATTTCTCTCCATTGCTTTAAACAATAATGTTCTCATTTGGGGACTGAGAAATGCAACTAAGATTCTTGCTTTTTTAGTCTTAACTATTTTTTTGACAATTTCATCATAATCATCGGAATAATCAAATGAAAATCTTTGGCTATTACCAATGCATATCCCATATTTTTTTGTATTTTTCTCGATATTTTTAGCGGCATTCTCACCAAATGATCCTTCCATGTATAACATTTGAATATACGTCCACTTAAGCGTTTTCATAACTTCAGCCATAGCTTCTGTGGCGAAAGCATCGGACGGTACAAGACGCGAGAAATATTCAAATCTCCCCTTATTTGATAATTCAACGGACGTTGAATAGATTCCCAAAGTAGGTAAATTTAATGCTGATGTCATACCAGCAAGAGATATTGATTGATCAGAAGAATATGGTCCTACAATTCCAACAACATTTGTAGTTCTTGCACCATTTAGATCATTTAAGAGTTCCATGGATCGCCAAGTATAACTGTTAATCCCTCCGCATGTATCTAAATACACGTATCCTAACGTTATATTAGGTAAAATATTATTGTTATCATTATAGTGTTTAATTCGAAGTCTCATCAGCTCAGGTGTAACTGCTCTATCGTAGTTTAAATTTCCACCACAGCGAACTTTTCCAACGATGTGAGTCTCATACATAAGGGCAATAATTAAATCTCCTTCTCCTCTCAAATCTGTCTTATTTGAAGCAGGGAATTTTGCTAGATTATACAAGGAAAAAACATAGGGCAGTCCTAATATTAAAAATATTAGTCTTCTCATCTTTGGTCAACTTACAATCTCTCAATAGTTATTTCTGTGTTTATGTTTCCCGAAGTCTTTAAAGACGAAATTTTATTTATATAGCAAGATGAAGAATTATTACCTGCCTATATACTTCCTTCTTCTTTGTTTATAAATTATTATTAACTGAAAGCAGTCTTTTCTTATTCTCGAAGCATATGAACTTTCTTTAAGGTAGTTCGCAAACAATTGAATAGGATACTAATTTTTTTCAAAATAGGCCAAAGAAAGGGAATTAATTAATAAAACTTAATTAACTTGTTTATGAAAGTGTAGTTGGTTAATAACTAGTTTAAGTTTAGTACGAAGGTAACAAATAGTTGTCGTTCTTTATGTATTTCATGAATAGTTATTTAAATAATTTTAAAAAAGAGCCTAATCGTGTAATGCATCATTCTAGACTTATACATGCTTCTCCTTCATTCTACTCACATTCAAAAAAGTGCTTTATAACTAGGACCCAAAGGAAAAATATTAATAATCTATTTATAGTTTGTCCACTATATAGTTTAATGCAAAATCATCAAGTTTTTTAATAAGAATAACTGCCGTTGATATTGATATTGATATTACAAATTTTTCGTTTATTTGAATATATTTAACAGTTTACTTTATACCAGAGTGTATACTATCTAACTTGATTTTTAACCAGTATTGCTACTCTTTGGAAAAGTTTGTCTGTGCTTCGAATTTTAAATATAACATAGAACGTTTTTTTGTACATGTGCAACATTTGAGAAAAAATCATTTTTCCTTCAATTTCAGCCGATATACAAGTTTTCTTTTCTTAACTAGTTGTTTCTCCAGTTGATACAGTTGCAATTTTCGTTGAGTTGTAGCGGCTATAGCTTGCATAGACTACTTCCTGCTCATCAATAAAAAATATAGCATAAATTTTGGGTAAGAAGAGGCAGAGTAAAGTAAGAATTCCATTAGTTATGAGACATATTCCAAGAATAATAACTTTGTAGTAAACATAAAACATAGTAAAGTATGCTGGCAATAGCACTATCCATAGAAATATTGTTGTTGCAACTGACACAAATATATACCAGGATTCGTTAAAGTTCTCCGGTAATTTTCTAGTTAGATAACTCAAGCCCACGCAACATAATAGAATGAGTACATTGAACCCGAGAGGTATAGCCAAAGATATTGGAGGACTGTAGCAAGTCAATTCAACTTTTTTCTCAATTTCAATTTTTTGTACTCGTTTATCTGTCGGTTGCCAAAAAAGTATGCTGAATAGAATCAAGACAACTTCAAATCCAATCAAAATAACTGTCATAATCATAAGAGATTTATTGCTAGTGAAACTTGGTCTTTGTTTTCCTTTTGATCCACTTTTGAAAATTCTATAAACTCTTTGAGTCTTCATAAGAAGAGGGACATAAATGAATGTTATTCCAAGATTTAAACCGATACGACTGAATAAGCAGGTCAAAAACCTTGGCTTTGCCAACAGAAAAATAACTGTAGTAAAACATATAATGATCCCCAAAAGTATTATAGCCGATAGATGGCGAGCGGACGCTTTAATAATTTTCTTGTTTCTATATTTCCTGTATGCTAAGCCCATTAAACTAGCTAAAGAGCCTCCAACAACCGCAATAAACAGTAAAAGAACAACCAAAGTATCACTCCATTTCGGATATTCACTCTTTATTACCAAGCAAACACTCGCAGCATCTGCGTCTAAAGGTAGAAAAAGCTATATTTAAACATGAATGTTATAATAAAAAGAAATTTTTCCAATAAAATATTATAAAAAAAGGCATAAAACCATTAAAAAATTGTTGAGAGTATATTTCTCCTTTATTTAAAAAAAATTGAATGAAAATAGAGGAAGAAAGACCGGAAGTTGTATTAATAAAGAAATTTTTTTATTTCTTCTACATGATATTTAAATAAATACTTAGATTAAAGTGGAAAAAACAATGACAAAGTTATATACGAAATACGAAAACACCAAAAAGAAAATTTGCTTTATTATTTAGTATATATCTTTTTTTGACTAGATTAGAAGAAGAACTTATTTAATTGCTACGTCCTTTTCTTTTATTCTTATGTAAAAGATATAATTAATATATGTTATTATTATCCAACAAATGTTTGTGCTATATCTATTAAAAGGATATTGTACATAAAAGTTTGTTGTATTTTAACTGTAAATGCACTTATAATATATCTTATTTATATACAGTTATATTTGGTGCTTGATTTATAAATCATTGCGAATTTTGTTACCTCCTTCTTGTATTAAATGATTATTATTCAAATATGAAATTATATCTGTACAGTATCGATCAGAAACTGTACTCATTAATACCACGAATATAGAAAAATACCAAGTAGAAAGCGACAGTTCTATAATAAGAATCTTGTCTTTCTCTTCTGTAAATGAAACATTCTGCTTAAAAGTGTACTAATATTTAGAAAAAAACAGTTCGATTAACGAGATTTATGGAAATTCTATCATTGATGAAAAGAATTAAACTTGTCAGAGGAACAGAACTATCATTGACAGTATGGCTAATTCATCTTAAATACGATACGCTAACTACAATTTTAGAGACTTATATTAGTATATATAGTTTTAATTTGTATTTTTACCTGGCCAATAGAATTCAGGACATTTCTTGCATTCGGTTCTATTTTTTATAACAATTTCATTATCTCTGCATTTTTTGCATTGCCAACAACACTCCAAATCTTGCGGAATATAAATATGCTTTTTGGGACACGGTCTACTGCAAATTGATTCAATTTGAAACTGCTTTAAGGCCAAAAGTACCTCTCCTCTTTTTGACCACGTTCCAGCTAACTTTTGTTCAAGTTTATTTCCTACTGGAGAGTAGTAGAATATATTATAGTCGCCTAACATGTCACCATTGTCATCAAAGAAATAATTAATACCAGTTTTCGACCTAAATTTCACTTCCCGAAGATATTTTAAAACATCTGGCCCCTTTGTACAATCCTATTAATATGTTATTGAATTCTCTTATTATAAATCAGATATTAAATATTTTATATTTCAAATATTTTTTACCTTTAGTAGTGTTTTATTATTAAATGCTTCAGGGCATTGATCTGAAATCAGATTATGCAATGCACGGGCGTACGCTTCCATTCCATCTCCTAATTTGAACATGTATTTGAAGATACTATCAGTTATTTTGTTAGTTTCGTAAAAATTTGCGTATTTAGAACAATTTGTTTCAAAATGACAATCACCCAATTGTTCCCATAGTTTTTTCATCCATATATGGTCAGCCATTGAAGGAGTTAATGATGATACATGATCAACAAATTTAGGATCTTCGCCAAGTGTGTATAAGAATAAGAATGATTTAGATTGCATCTTTTCATATCCATCCAAAAATCTATAGGAATCAGCGCCGAAAAATGTAAAATGATCATAGTATTTGGTTTTGTTTAATAATCTTATGATCTCTTTACCGTGGCCAGGATATGTAAACATTACAATGACTTTAGCTTTTTCATACTTAATGAGTTTGTCTACAGTTGCTTTGAAATCAGTGAAACTATCGACTCTCATAGTATTTGCAACGCAAATACCCTTCATTTTTGCGAATTTTTGAATTCCTTTTGCAGCATTTTCTCCAAAAATGCCGTCAGTAAACACCAATTGAATATATCTCCAATTATGATAATCCGAAAAGTGCATCATTGCTTGGGTGGTAAATTTATCGGATGGGACTAGCCGAGTAAAATACTCGTATATAGCTTTATTTGACAATCCTTCGGCTGTAGCGTAAGTTGATAGTACTGGAATTTTTAATTGGGAAGATAAACTTCCCACAGATAATGCCTGATTTGAAGAAAATATACCCAAAATTCCAATAATATTATTAGTCTTTTCAAAATCATCTAAACAATCTTGTTGATAAATTTGAACAATTCTGGCTGATCCTCCATTAATCGTTCCACAATCATCGTAATAAGTAACTCCAAGTGATATATTGGGAAGAATTTTCTCATTTGAATTCAAATCTGTTAACACTTTAGTCAATAATTCTGTACCCAATACTTGTGTTGGATTCAAGGGTGGTGAGCAGGGAATCGATGAAAAAGAGCTAATCGGATACAGTATAATAATGTTCAAATCCCCGCGCACTCTCCATTCGTAATCTTTTCCCGTTGGAAAGTCTGGAATATGAACGTAACATTGCCCAAATGAAGCAAAGTTAAGTAAACAGAATAACTTAAGGAGCATCTTTCGATACTCAAGTAACCAGCCAAGACACCGAATATTTCTAAATAACTTATAGATAGTTCTAATTATATGAACGAATAAATTGTATCATTTAGCGACGCTCAGCGGGAAACGTTAATGATACATATAAAAAAGTACCAGTATCATAATCCCAATGTGCGAAAGAGGAAATTATAATTTTTCTCCGAAATGATTATTGAAAATGATGTTAATGTTTATTAAAACAATGCTTAAATTACTCTATAATATTTTAAAGTGGTAAATATATATTGCATAGTATATTTGGGAATCCTTTTACCCATTACAGAAATTTACTCTCTAAGCTTTCTACTTCATAACCTTTATAAAGAATAGGTAATCTTTCTTTTTTCAGTTTGAAAGTAATTGAATATGAGACAAGAAATCGTCATTTTCTAATCTACATACATTACTTTAATAGTTTATCGAATTGGTTTATTTTTGATATTTTTCATAAAAAAAAATCTTATTAAATTTATTATACAAGAGTTTGAGAGAGATATTAATAGTTTTTTCTTCTTTTTTTGACAGGTAAATATAAAAACTTTGTTGTATGAGGAGAAAAAGGCAAAGATTAAACGTATAATTTCAACTGTCAATCATTTTTGTACTCTATTCTGAAAGATTCAAAAAAAGGTAAATAAAAGCCATAAAGATGTGAAACTAGCATTGACAAGAAAGAAGCTAAAAGTTATAATTTTACAACTTTTTAATTGAACATAAAAAAATTTTAAATCATTTAAACTCTTTACTCATTTAATAAGATGTTTATCAAATTCACTTAATATGGTATAGAGTCCATCAAAAAGGGAGAACCTTTTAAATAGAAAGAGAGAGGGGGAGAGAGTGAAAGAGACATAAACATATAGGAAGCTTCGTCTGAGCGCCATCTAGTACAATGACTAAAAAGAAATTTTGTTTGAAAGCACTTTAAAATCACAACGCCTTCCTTATTTGCACAAGAAATGATTCAGGCATAACGTTTTTGTTTATACTAGCGGCGCCACGTAATAACATAAGAGTATATGCTAATATACATAAATTTCTATGTATATTCAGTATAGCTAGATATACAGTACGTATTTATAAGTATGTACGTATATACGTAGAGAAGAAAGGAAGCCGTTCCCTCTCCAGCTGCGGAAAAAAGTGAATAGAAGGGTAATTTTGTTTCTTTAAGGGGTCGAAAATAAAAGTTTTAATGCTCCAGATAGGATTTATAACAATTGTTGAAATTGAAAAAAAAAGAAACAACTGAAACCAAATGGTGGTAGAGTAATAAATAAATATGTTATTCACAATTGTCTATTTTTTTCATTCAAGAGTTCAAAAGTAGAAAAGGCGCCAAACGTTACAAAAGGATTCGATTATATTATATTTGACTATTATTGGTTAAGAGTAGAGGTCGTGGGAAAGGTATTTCTTTCTACCTATAAAATCTTTATCAAACAAAAAAGAAAATTTATGAAGAGCAATGATACGAGCATTTTATTACACACTATACTCAAGTACAAAGATAATCCCTTAATCCAAAGTCAGTGAGACTTTAAAGGAGCAGCGATCTTGGGAAAAGGAGGACGGATACTTTGAAGTCTGTTTGCCCTTGTCTAATTATGTACATAGGAATTATGCTTTATTTTATATAGAATATCAAAAAAGTATAAAAATGTTGTTTCTTTCATTTAGTCAGTTTTTTTTATAAGAAAAATACAAAAGCGTCTCTTTGCTAAGTGAAAGGTGAGATAGGATTTAAAAGAAATCCGAAGTAAACTAGGCATTAGTTTCCATTCAAAAAAAATTTCATAAACATGTTGTTGTTGTTCAAGTCACGCGCGTGTAGAAAAAGAAAACATTTTTTTACCCTGAATAAGAGGTTAGAAAGAGGGCTTTTAAAATGAAATTCTAGAAGAACATGAACAATCGACCAACAGTTAAGCCCTGTTTCAATAACAAAATACTCTTGAAGAAACATCAAAAAAAAAATTATGTAAGAATTCTTTTATTATTTTTTTTTTAAAAAAAAAGTTATAAAAATTTTTATAAAAAAAATATTTTAAAAATTTCTGTCATTAAATTCACAACCAATAAAAAAGTCTTTTCATTCATATTTTACATTCAGAAATGCTCAATTTCTCTTCCTGAAATTTGTTCTCTCTTTTTTTGTCATTAATTCTCTATTTTATCATTTATCTCTTTTCTTTAAAAAATTGTTTATTAAATATTCTAGAAATTCATATGGTCACATAATGTTCTTTTGCCAAGGTCTCCAATGATCTTCAGATTTTGAGCACTTTGGAGGTGAGCAATCCGATGAGCAAGGAGAACCAGATCTCTTTTTTTCCAACGGAAGTTGCATAAGTATAGCCTTTTCTGGTGTTGAATTTGTTATAACTAAATAATTGGATCTTTCCGGTAGGACAAAAGTCATTGGTAGAACGTTATTGTTGTTGGGATCGGCTTTTCGTATCGTTGAACAGGACGTTAAGTGTTCTACTAAACGGGTTCTTAAATCCGAATCAATATCGGCTGATAATAAAAATTTTGAAACTTCCTCCGTACATTCATTGTAGCCGGCGTAGTATTTATTCAAAATTGATGGATCGGAAGCAGCAGCGACTGTTAAAGATCAATTTACAAAATGTTTACAATTTCATATACAATCTCTTATCTCTAACTAGTTTCCTATCATGGCGCCGTTCTTTTACGACTATTGTCTACGTAGATCTGGGTTTTTTTCCAGCTCCTTTACCCTTTCTCAACCCCTTTTAGCCCTTTCAAAAGGGAAAAGTAAGGCCTAATTCTATCGTAAAAAACGAAACGTCTTAATGTAACACTCGGTGAAAAAAAACGTATCAAAACTTTGCAAAACTTAAACGCTTAATTGAACTAATAAAACGAAAATGATGAGGGGATAAGTGCTATAGAGAGGCCGGGGGGTGGTGTGAGAGAAATGCGAAAAGGATAGAAGAAAAGGCCGATGAATGAAAACTTTAATAAAGAGAAGAAAGAAAGGAAGGACAGGAAAATTTAAATATCCTATTTATTTTTCTCATAATCATAACCTTTTCAATTCTCTCATCCTTTTATTTGCACGCATTACCATTACACCACACCCTTTCTTATTCTTTTTTTATTACAACTACTCTTGTCTATTTAAATGGGGGTTCAGTGGTTTAACGATTAATAATTATTTTACGGAGGAAGGTGGCTTACCTGAAAACTCTTGGCGTTGAATTCTCCTTAAATATTGAACTGTATACTCGAGGATATCAGCCTTTTCCATTTTATTATGCTTAGTTCCCTATAAAAAGATAACATGTGTCATATTTATTTATATAAATGGTACAATTTGTATATCTTAACAGATTAAGAGAAAAGCAGGGGAATGTATACAATTTAAAAAATTTATTTTAATTAAGAGTTATCTGTTCTTACATCTCTTTTCATAGAATCCAAGAGTAAAGCCTTTAATTCGCCTAGAGAGGCATTCATTCTTGCTCGTCGTCTTTTCTCCATTTTAGGTTTATTATTCTATTAAAAGTATAATATTATTTTTACAACTTGGTTAAACAAATAGAATAAGTAAACGTAATTTTACCTTTTTCCCACCGTCAGACATTTTTACGATTACACGTGCCACACGCGCCTGACCAGATGACTGACCGACTGTCGGAAAACGCCGACACGCGTTAACCAATCAACTCGCGACTGACGCGTTTTTGGCACGGCTCTCGTCTCTGATTGGCCATATTCATTTTATTTAGCCAGTATTATTGACCCTTATAAAGAAATTCTAGATGGAAAAGTTTATTTCCAGAGTTATTTTTTACCATTAAACCTTTATTTTTATGTTATTCATCTATTGTTACATTGTACGTAAAACCTCTAAGGAATGCAATTTGTTTATACAGGATTGCCATTTTGTAAGGAATTTTATCTCGCGTCTTTCTCCTATTCATGCGAAACGTTCTAGTAATTTTTTCTTCTCATCTTTTATTTCTTTTTTCTCATTCTTTCTCTCTTTTTCTCTTTTTTTTATTCCTTTCTTTCTTTTTTTTTACATAAATTACTAAACGGTCCAAAGCTTTTTTTTTCGGTCTTTTGTAAATTCCTTCGCTGAAATATCAGATACGTTTATAAATTATTGAAGAAAGAAACGGTGTTTGAATACCTTTTGAATAAGGGATTGATCATTTATAACAAACCAATTAAACTGTAGAGTGTATTCTTGTTTCTCTCTTTCTAGAAATATTTTAGATATTTAAGTCTTTATTTTATATATATAAATGGAAAGTTTGTTAGTAAAAATAGGTGCTAGTAAAGAAATAAACTTTGTGAATTATACGCAATAGGATAGTGTCACTTTGGCACTTGTCAGCTCCATGTCTGGTCTTTTTTTTTATTTTCGTTAAATACGAGTTAATGTTTCTTTTACCATTTTACTTTCGTTTTTTTATCGCTTCGAACTGTGAAAAATCGTTCTGCTAACACCTAGAAATGTTAGAAAGAGTAAGACATTTTGATAGTCTCTTTTATTGTTATTTCTTTTACATTTACACTATACGTAAACAGTGAAGAGAAGGGTCAGAATGATTTTAATATATTGTATTAAGTTTAATAAGTAAGTTAGTATTATATTTTGGTGTTTTTTCTCCTTTCTGAAATGTGTAGAAGACTATTTTTATAACAAGTACTTTAAAAAGGATGAATAGCTGAGAAAAAAATCATTGAATTTTGTAGAAGAGATTATAAAACGTCTAACAATCAAATGAAAATAAAAGCTTTCTGTAAAGGAATAAGAGAAATAGAAGAAAAATGCCTAAAAGCCATGTTAATACTTGACGGTATTTTTCTATTTGAAATATTTGTTCAAAAATAAGGGAAATTGTAGTGAATGGAAGAGAAATATTCTTAAATTTTATTTCGTTTCTTTTAATGTTCATAATAGTAGTGACAAAAAAACTTAAAGGAGCGGAAAAAGGAACCAATTTAATTAATTAACTACTTTGATGATAGTCGGATATTGTAACTACATTCGTAAATAAACAATTCGAGTATACACCGAGTTTATCTAGGAATTTTGTTTATTCTCTTCGTTCTGGCGCAATTCACCGAAAAGTTTTCACCTTAGTTTTGTTTGATATAAACTGATCAAATCCATTCTCTTTTGATAATATAATTCACCGACAGAAGCGTTTAATTCAACAATTTCTTTTATCTCTTTTCCCTTATTTATCTCTATTTAAGTGTGTAGCAGCTTTATGTTTTCTTTTCTTTTTCTTTGAGAAGGTAATTTAATACAAGAACTATAGTAATGTGCTAGATAAAGATTGAATGTCTAAAAGTAAGGTATTAGAATCCTCTTCGATGAATGGTATTTTTAACGGAAAATAAAGAAATGAGTAGGAGGAGTAAGGAGGAGAGGGAGGTGACTGTAAATTGTATAGATAGAAAGAAAAAAGTGATTTTATCCTAGTACCCTTTCATTTTTCAGTAGACGAAATGTTTGACTGATAATAGCTATAAAGCCAACGGCTACGGCTCTGTTTGGTGTCAGAATAAATTTCGTATGCAAATTTTATCTCTTTTTCGATTTTCTTCTATTTTACTTTAACTCTCTTTTATTTCTCTATTTTTTTGATAAATCCGTAAAAACCAAGGACTAAAGCATGTCAAGAGAAGTCACATTCTCTTGACAAGGGACAAAGTCAAATGAAAAGTAAACGTCCAAAGTGACAAAAGCTGCTTTGTGTAAAGTGATCTTGCATAATGTCGCCAGGATAAAAAAAATGCTTAAAGAATTTAAATTAAATTGAACGTTAAGAAAAAATACCTTCTACACCTTATAAATTAAATATTACGCAATTAAGTAGGCGACGGGTAGACACCGCTTAAGAACTTTATCATTTTGACTTTTAGGTTTATATACATAGAGCATATAGGCTTAACGTGCAAAGATTTTGTTAATTTTTTTTATTATTAGATCCCTTCCTGTCCTTTTTCTTTTAACTTCCTGTCTAAATATATGAAAATAGAACGAAATACTTATCAAAACGTATATATATATGTATATACTGTATATCAACTTGTATACCTGTATGTATAGTGAATAACGTCTCTAAAGACATCTTTAACAAAGCAGACATTAAATAAATTTACTTAACCAATTCTTATTATTTGCTTTAAAATGTGGTATACATATATTTAAACTATACCTGTCCCTCCATGTATATTCTAGTACACTCCGCTTTAAGACCAAGTTGTTAGAAACTAGCGCCATCTAACAGACTTTAACATTGTCAAGTGGTATTAATTCTGCTAACAAATGAATATTGTATGATCTTAAAAGAAGACTATTACATTTTTTAGTATACTGTAACCGTAACGTGAATAATACTGGCATTAAGGAGATAGAAGTAGTAATACAACATTTTAATAATAAATTACTATAGTTAAAAGAGACATAGTTGTTCTATGATTGTTTCTTTTTTTATTGATGTTATTTTGAATTCATAATTAGACGCCGAGGAGAACTAATCGATAATTTTTTTATAACGACATTGTTTATGTTTTATTTTGAGTCAATACTTCGTCAAAGTATATTTTGTTTTCTCTCTAAAAGGTTGCAATTGTCAACGAGAATATAATCTGTAGTCGGTTAACAAAAAAAAAGCCAGATTATCCGTGATCGATCGCTAAAAACTATAATATAGTTAATAACGCTTTTGAAAATTAAATAAAGCGGTCTTGTTGCATTTTATTGAAAAGATGATGATTCTTTTTCACACTTTTTCATGTTCAAGTAGGAAAAATATTAATGAACAGATATTGTATATATTCTATTATTAGATAATCTATTTTTGTAGCTATTAGAATCAAAGCTATGGCTTGTCCGTAGTAATCTTTCTAAAATTCAAGAAAAGGTTGAGTTAAAATGTGAGCTGAGAAAGCTGACCAGAAGAGAGAGAGAGGGACAGAAAGAGAGAGAGAGAGAGAGAGAGAGAGAGAGAGAGAGAGAGAGAGAAAGAGAGAAAGAGAGAAAGAGAAGAGAGAAGGAGAGTGGGTTTTTTTTTTACGGAACATTAACGTACTTAGCCGAAAGGACTAATTTTTTTAATATTATCCAGAGTAATACTTTAAGTTAAGGTTGACCTTCAAATGAGACTCTTTTTTTATCTTAGGATTTTCATAGAATGAAGTAATAGAAGAATTTGTAAATATTTTTCACACATGTATTGCATTTAATTCGATTTTAAACAAAGAATGAAAAAAGATATTTCGGAATGGAAAAAAAAAAGACATTTTATCTTCTTTTAACGCTTCTTTCCTTGGTGGAAGAAATCAGGCATTCCTATCAACGCGTCTAAGGTTCCATAATTTCTCTTTATAGCCTTTTCTCCTCCATTTTGCTTTATCTTTTCTGCCAAGCTTATCAGTTTTCTTCCAACCGATGATAATTCCTTAGTTAATTAGAGCAAACGTGATTTTTTAAAGTAAAATTTCAATTAGTTAATGAAAATATGTTATATATTATATATGTTTATGTTAGAAATAACTATTGTGAGCAGAGTTGAATTTTTATTTGGTTATTTTGCAGAATATATGCAGTATATATATATATATATATATATATATATATATTAGTATACAGTATATATAGATATATAGATATATATAAATCCTTTATTTTTAATATAAATATTTGGCCAAATATAATTTGTGGAAATAGACATGTTCATCAATCAAATAAACAGGGTTAAGGCCAAAAGTATGTAACATGAATTTTAATTATCTTTTTTTAGGAAATTGAAAATATTAATCATGTTTTTTAAAATTTTCAAAGGCAGAAATCTAGTTTCTTTCTTTGTTAGCGTCTCTATTTGTAGGCATGAGCAATTTTCTGTTTTTAAATTAGATGGAGGATGTCCTCCAAATCTTGGGAGAGATAATGGAATTCCAACTGATTTGCTCGTTTATGGCTGTTGACGTTTACTCTAAGTGACTTTTACCCATTTCTTTTTCCTCTATCTTTTCAAATTCATTTGTATACATTTATCTTCATTATATATTTTTTTTATAGAAAGAGAACAGAAGGAAAAGTATAGACTCATCTAGCTTATATTTTCGCTAACATTATTAGATATATTATATCTAAAAAATAATAAGTAATAAATTTTTTTTTGTAAGTCTAAAGTCTTTCTCTATTCTTGTTGGGGCGTGTCGATTTATTCTCAAACATATCCTCCTCTATCTTGTCTCCTTCCCTTCATTTTCACTTTTACTACCTTTGAAAAATTTCTCTATGAAGATTACTTTGAAGTATTTAAATCGCGCATATCCAAGGAGAAAGCTGTACCGTTATCTCTACGCCATATAACGTACATGTAGAAGTTATTATATTCGAAGAAAATTAGAAAGTTTGTGGATAGAGATAATACTGAATAAATATAATAAAGTCTTAATAAATTCGATATACAGTACAGGAATAATTTTGTATTATCTATTAGATCTAGCACTTTTGAAAAAGAAAGCAAAGCAGATATGTTATTGTTCATCTAAATTGAATTTACATAATTCTAACAAATTGGTATTAGTACTATCTGTTCTTTCCACATCGTATTACACTCTATTCAACAGATTGTCTTCAAAGAGGATAAAGATGGCATGAAAAGAAAACAAGCTTTAGAAGAAGGATTAAGATAAGAAGAGAAGATGGGTAAATTGCATGAAGATGGCATGAAAAGAAAACAAGCTTTAGAAGAAGGATTAAGATAAGAAGAGAAGATGGGTAAATTGCATTTCTATAACTTCTTGAACTCCTTCTTTAAGCCCTTTTAGAGCAGTTTAAAAAGAACTACTAAAGTCTCTCTTGTCTTCTTTTTTTCAAGAATTTCCGAATTACAAGATTTCAAAATTAGACAATAAATAATAAATAGCGGTAGGAAATAAATTTTTTGGATATAACACATAAAAATCCTATGAGGACGAGTGTAAATTTTTAATGTCCTTCCTTTCATGCTTAAAGATCATAAGTAAAACTTTGAAATATGTTATTTACAATAGTTAAAAACCTCTTGTGTACGGTAGATTTAGTGTCGATTTATTAATACTGTATATTTTTTTGACATGTGCTCTTAACAGCATTAATTGACCTGTGGCTAAGCTAATGTAGAAAAGCAATATATTTTTGGAAAAATAACTTACTTCCGCAAAATCAGAGACTGAGGTGTCTCGCTTAATAGGGGTCGTATCAGCCAATAATAAGAAACCCAAAAGGACAACCAGTAGTTTTAAGGGCATCATAATACTACATTATGAAATGAACAAATTTTGCAGGTAAACATATTAATTAACCATAAAAATTTATTTATTTGCACTCACCTCGATTTATTTTCTAGTGTCTAGTAGCGGATGTAAAGCGCTTTTAGAACAGAAGCTGAGAGTTTATATAATATCATAGTGACGTCACTACGAATTCAACCAATCGACGAACGGACTCTTAAACATACTTTCGGGCTAATTTATGAATGAATTGGTTAGTGAACTCTTGAATAAATTTATCGAAAACAAATGGTTGATATTCATAATTAAATAATCAATGATTTAATACTAAATAAAGTTAGTACAAAAATTTCTTTTAATCTATTTTTACCCTTCAATTGACCCCGAATGATATGAATAAAAATATGAATATTGAAAGAAGCAATATAGATTTGAATAACTTATACTATCAGATAATATACTTATGAAATTCATCCAGTGTACAATACACTTTACATATGCATTTTACTAATGAAAACGATCATACTATACACACATAACGTGTAAACAATAGAAAATGAAGAAATATAATCTTTTCTACGATTTTCCTTTATTTATTTAAATACAGAATCTTATATATATTTTAACAGACTTGAAATACGTTGAATCTTTTATTCTGGTTTGTTGCGGAGGTGTGTTACCAACGAAGAAGAAAGACCAAGAGGAAGAGAAAGAGGAAGAAGAGAATTGTGAGAAGAGAGCGTAGAGCCAGAGAGAGAGAGAGAGAGAGAGAGAAGGGATAATTTGAAAATTTTTTTACACACAAATAGCTGTTACCCTCTTCACTTTGTTGCTTACTAAATTATTTAGCAAAAATGTTTTATCAGAGCTACCCTCCCTTTTATATTAATATTTTAATTATTTTTAACATCTTTATAAACTTATATAGCTAAAAATAATATTAAGAGAGAAAGAGTTTGATAAAGAGAAAGAGAGAGCCAGAGAGAGAGAGAGAGAGAGAGAGAGAGAGAGAGAGAGAGAAACATATATCATCAAAATATAAAAACAATAGATAACAAGTAAATGACTGTATCAAGATATCTTTATTCAATTTTTTTTCAAAATATTTCAAATATAACCAATTCTTATTTCAATGTTTGGTATTATATTTTGTTTTTTAGTTGTAACATTTTTTTTTAAAAAAAAAACTATTCAATTTCTTTTTCAACAGTTGATAGAATAAGACTTTTTCTCTTTCTTTTCTTTTTCTTCTGCTGCCTTTCTTTGTCCTTATAATAATGAAAATTTTTCTTTCAATATTCTTTTTAAGTAAGAAATAAATAACGTATAAAAGGGAAAAAAAACACGTACATACATACATACATACATTGATACATACTTTATGCATACAAACGTACACGAAAACTCATCAAACTACATTGCGATATATTGAAACACACAATTAGTATAATAACAATAATAATAATAATAACAGACATTCAATTTTATTTATAATTTTTCCTTTGCAGTCTTAAGAGTAATGATATTAATCGACGCTTGGCCTATGTAAACTTGAGGAAGGCGATTGGCTGAGCGGAGTGGAAGCTGGAGATGCCACTGAACTGTAATAACTGCCTGGTGATGCAACCATACTTGGTGACGCTCCCATATTTGACATAGGCGATGTCACTGCGTCATAACCGTTTTGGTTATAGTTATCAGATGGGTCGGCAACATCAAAATATTCATCGAGTAACGGAGGTAGAGATCCCTGGAGTAAATAAAAGTTAAGTTATACTTAACATCCTTCTTCGTTAAAAATTCAAGTGAAAGAGAAAAAAAATCTGCTAATGGAATTTTATATTTCATAAGAAATGGTGGAAATCGACAGTACTCAGTGAGAGGAAATGAAAGAACGTAATTAGTGAATACTTTTTATCACGATAGTTCCTTAAGAATTAAAAGATAATACCTTAAATCATATATATAATACAGTAAAAGAGCACCAGTCTAACCGATAATTAAATTAACTTTTTGCTCCTGTCTTTCTAAAGAGTGAAGCTCTTATATTACAATAAATTTAGATATTAAATGCCTTGAATGACATATATATACTTGTATACAAGTATATATACATAATTTAATATTGTTTGTTGTTATTAATTCTAAAATTCACGATTTTTTTAATAATAATAGAAATAACAACTACAAGTTCACCTTTCCGAACGCGATATATACAATGTATATTCTCTGCTTTGTTAAATGAAGATTATATATACTATGTATACATATATTGACATTTAAATATCCGACATTTTTGATTTCTAATGTTTTAGTTACAGGAAACTGTTTTTTTTTTTAAAAAAACAATAAAAAAGAAAACAAAACAAGATAAAAGGTTAAAGGTCTATGAAAGAAAGAATGTTATAAATCTCTTTCTTTTTCAGCTCGAATAAAAATCTATATATCATATCGTTCACATAAATGAAAAGTTTAGTGTTTTATTTGTTTGACGAAGGGGAAAGGACTTTTGTTGTATTTGCATCCTGGCGAGAAAGTGAATATGGGGCAGAATAGCCCAATATCATATCTATATACACTCTGTACATTATATATTTAAATGTTATATATTTATTTATATAGAAAGTTTATATACGTTATTTAAGCTTGTAAAAAACTTTAAAAACAAATTATTTATCAAGTAATTGCTTATAGTCTTACATGATTTATATATGAATGAGTATAGAAATTGAGATATTCTGAAAAGTAACACTTTTTAATATACATGTACAGTATGTATATACTATATATTTAACCTATTTTTATCTATAAGTAATAAATTAATATGTAGGAATCTAGAAACTCAAAGGATACTTATCATATTATCTAAACTAATTATTTTTAAGCCTTTACAAGTGAAAATAGTAAACTATTCAATTTGTCTTTCGTATATCAAACTAATATTCAACTAGTTTTGCAGTGTTTTAATAGTTTCTCTTTTATAAATGGTAATTAATATTAATATATAATTGTTTACTAACCTTTTCAACTTTTAAAGAGAAAAGAACTTGAGAATGTTCAGCTGATAATTCCCTGAGTCTGCATAATTGCAATATTAATTTAGCGAAATAATTGGATTTCTTTGGACGTCTCAGTTTATCATATTCTTGTAAGGCGATAGCGTAACGTTCTTGTAACTCCATAACGGCCGTCGAATATTTTAAACCAGGCCGATCTATATATAAAAGTTTGTATACTTATTTGATATAATAATTAATGTTATATAGTTTTTATATTAACATACCTGAAAAAATACTGATTGCCGTTAATAGGGCATATTCAGCATTGTCTACCCGTAATTTACCCAAACCGCGACAAAACTCAAACATGCTAGCCACAAATTCGTTAAGACCTGCTAAACTCATACTTTGTTCGGTGTGAGCTGCTCCATCGGCAAATACCACTGTATTCGTTTCCAGATCGTACCTTCTGGCAGTTCTTATCATCATAACTTCGCAGGCTGAACCTTTTAAAAGAGTGATTTGATCTTCTCGATCCAAAGTTAAAAATCCAGGCAGATGTTTAGCAAAATCAACGATAAGATGTGTGGTAAGAATAGTCATTTCAGCCATATTCTTAAAAAGCATTTCAGACATGTCCTTGGGTTTTCCTTCACCGCTAACTCTCACTCTCTAAGAATAGTTATAAAAGTACATTATAGATGGCGCTAGCAATCTACACAAATAGAATAAAATCAAAAGTCTATTAAAATCATTATAAAGAAGTATGACATGAATGAATTTGACCTACAAGCTATAAATATGTACTACTTGCTTACTCATAATTTCTCCTTTGGGATAAAAGTCAAATGTATATTTTTGAAATGCGCATAAAAATTTACGTAACTATTAGTTACGCTAGTAATCACTAGAAATCGGATATAAAAATTTCATATAGCTGATTAATAATTTTTTTTTAAAAAAACAAATATGATATAAAATAATAGTAATCATCCAGAGATTGAGAGATTGTCTTTTATACGGATTTTCTAGGAAAACGTTTCTTTGTTTTACTCTATAATAAGTTGTAATTAGCGATCTATACAGTATATAATATATATATATATAAAGTATATATATATATATAGTAAGAGGGAAGGAACTCAATACTTTTACTTTTTCAACGATATGTTCACTACTAGCAAAACTACCGTTTTCTAGGTTAATTGTATTCTTATTAGGGAAGGTAAAAGGATTAAATTTAAATGATAAAGAAAGCTGTTGATAACTCTCTCTCTTTCTCTACAAAACAAAGGATAAAACGTTAACAAGCGTCTCTCTATTTGTATTCGACACTGCATGGATAGATTAGCAAATACCAGTTATTACTTTACGAATTTAATGGGGATTTTTGGCATTGGTATTTTTTTTATTTTAACCATACGATTGTTCTATATTTAATGTATTAAATAACCTCATTTTTAAAAAGAGGCTTTTGTCCGAGATTTAGTTAGACTTTTATCGAAAAGCTAGACAGCCGTTTTAAAACTGTAAACACTTACTGATATTTTCTCTACATCCTCGTCAGTTGGCAATTCGAATTTGTCCTGATAGCCGACCACAGTTTCAACCAATTTTCCTACATCTATTGGCAGTTTTTCCATTGGGTTTGAACAAACAGTTTCTTGTGGAGAAGACGTTGTTGGACCGCACGAACGTCGCTCCGAATTAGAATCCGGACTAGGTTGTTGTTCGTCTGGTTGTTTTTTCTTTTTTCGCCTGGCATCCCTAGCTCTACACTGTTCTTCAGAAAGTAAGCATTCCTCCTTCATACCAACTGCCTTACATTTACGTAGACGACATGCCTGACATTTTCTCCTCATCCACATGTCCATCTCACAATCGCCTCCATTCTTGCAAAGATATTTTGCATCTCTCGTTATCGAACGACGAAAAAAACCTATTAAAATAGAAAGAAAGGAATGAAAATTAATATTATATTTAAAAAAGCACAACTTTAAATAATACTCTGTTATTTAGGCGTAACTATTCTTTCAGTATTCTCTAAATAGCCTATCCATGTCTGAAATTTTATAATTCAGCCTATAGACCATTAAAACCTTGTAAAGAATAAAAAAGCCAAAAGACGAAAGGTTATATTTCGAATGAGGTAAAAGTATTGATTTCTCGTGTCCTTCAGATTCATCAACAAATTATAAAGATTTTACTTAAATTATATATACACATGTTCAATCAATGAATCATGAGTCTATCAATTATTTTATTGTGAAAATAACTAAATCTTTGTAAGCTGCTATTCCAAGAATAGTAAAAAGAAATTTCTGCTAGAAGGAATGGTCTATAAAAAAATTCATTCGAAAAATTCAGTACGTATTGATAGCCGATTCATAGTATATTCAATGGAAGGACGTGTTCTCAACCTAAGATTCTGTTATAAAGATTTTCCATCAAATTTATAATATTCTAAATATAATTATGTACTAGAGCACAGCTGTCAAATTTCAAACACCAGAAAATGTTTGTTCTTCTATTCTGATAATGTAATTTATACTTGGAGAGAAAATTACACTAATTTTAAGAATTGTAAAATCTTCCTTCCGGTCAAAATGTACTTTGCACGTTAAAAAAGATTAATATTCAATTACAAATTGAAAATCGATCAAATCTTAAAGTTAGAGTTTGATACACAATAGACTAAAAAGAGAAAAAATCTTTAGTTTATCCTTTACTTTTTGTTCAAAATGAATAAGGTTCTCTTTAACTTCAAAAAGGGAAGGCTATTAGAAGATGTAGCTAAAAAGAATTTGTCAGAATAGGTCAAAAAATAGGATGATTATCAACTGAAATAGAATCTTTCGTTAATTTTTAACGAAAGAAGATATATTGCTAATTAGGTGAAAAAAAGAGAAAATAAAGGTCATTGAAGAGTCTATTTCTATTAAATATTCAAACTAGACCTATTAAGAGTTTTTCGTATTTGAAGTATAGCTTATACACTATTATATATATATATATATATATATATATATAATAGTTATAATTTATATGTATCTATGCATGTACAATATGTATTAGTCCATTGACTTTTCTATTTAGCTTTTTTGTAATTATGCAAAATAAATTATGAACTCTGCTTATTGTCGGTCGTTGACCATTTCTATGAATGACTGCCCTTGTACAATAATCTATTATAAAATACTATAATGTTTTTTTTATACAGACCTTTACAACCTTCGCAAGATAGAGCATTATAGTGATAACCTAAATGAAATAATAAAGACAAATGTAAAAACGTTAGAACAATAATGTTTTATAAAATATATTATACCTGACGCCCTATCCCCGCAAATTGAACATAATTCGTCTTCAGCAGTCTTTCCGCTTACTCCTAATTTCTTCTTGTTTTGCAATCTTGACGCATCTGACACTTCTTCGTCTGGAATTTCTGTTTTGATCCTCTTTACAATGGGTGTAATACCATTTGAAAACTCGGCTTTTCGTTTCGGTGAAGTCATTTTAGGCGCTTCATTATTAATAGTTGAGTCTGGGGAAGCTGACGATGCCGAAGAAAAACTTGCAGAACTACGTGAATCTGTAAAATTCACTCTGTTACTAAAAAATCCTAAAATTTGAGGCATTTAATGATCCTAGAATAATTCGACGATTGTACATGACTGATCTCGATTCTGGAATCCCGGTGGCCAATAGACGGAGCTACGAGTAATAATTAAACTAAATCGAGGACTGCCCTATTTGCAGGATATATCGGTAAACACTCATATTTAAAAAAAATTTGTACTAAAATCATATCTTTATATAAGTTTCTACACCTTGGTCGACTCATTAAAAAGTATAATAGCATTATTGATCGTACCGGCCACCTAACGGTTTATAAACCAGAGACTATACCAAGAAATAATGATTCTAAGTCGAAGAGATCCCTAGCACTAGGCACGATTGTAAAAACCATCAATAATGTATTATCTCTGGAAAAAAGTACAAGTTACGATAAAGTTCGGTCAGTATATTAATTTCGTTTTATTGATTGTGGAAAAAAGGTGATATTTTTAGAAAGTCTAAGTCTGTAAGAGAAAGGATGACGGGAAGAAAGAGAAAGGAAAAAAACAATTCGAAATTTAGAAAATAATGAAATGACCTTAAATACCTCCAGTTTAGAGTACGTAAGTCTCTCTCTCTCCCTCTCCCTCTAAATAAGAATTTTAAGTGTAATTACTATAAGGTTAAAAAAAATAGAAAACAATTAAATCAGCTCCAAATTTCCGCTTTAATCTGATAAAAGAATATGCTTTTACTTCCTACGTAATAGATATATATGAAATTTTTATTAATAGCAACATTTTCCTAGTATTTCCAAGAATACTTTCAGTAGTCTCTTCTATTTAATTGTAATTATCCAGTTCCCAGTAGAAATACAATGAATTTTATCAGAAAAATAACACATTTTGCACCGTAAATAGAGCTAGTTCCAGCATATTTCTCTCTAATTTTTTAAAGCTCAAACTTCAAGAGAAATAATAGATGTTTTTCATCTGCTCTTTTTCCTTTCTCTCTTCCTCTGCCTACCCACTTTCGCTTTGCTCTTTTTTTACCANTTCTTGGCCTTTTGTTAAACATACTAGGAATTTGAAAAGCGTTAAAAAGTGTATTAGGGGATGTCAAGTCGTAAAACGTGTTCGGAAATTAGGCGATAAAATGTGCGAGAAAAATGTCAGGCAGATGTGTTTTTCTCACATATACAACTGTGTTAAAGTGTTTTAGCAGCTGTAAATTATTATTGACTATAAAGCATATAGGAGCGCTTCGCAATAAATATTCTGAATTGATGCCAGTTATTTTATTTTGTTTTTATTTTTTTTTCCTTCTTTCCTCTCTCTCTCTCTCTCCTTCTCTCTTTCACTCCACGCTCTCTTTTTTGTTATTACTTCTATTCAAACAATTCAATCAACACATTCTTAAAACTCTCCTTTCTCTTTTCTCTACATCGCTTTAAACTTGAATAAAACATTTCACTCCTTCATTCATTCGTTCATTTTTTTCTTCTTCATACATTCTCGAATAAATTAACACTTTAGTCTTCTTTAATAATTTTACGCTTAAAAAGTTGAAATATTCTTTGTTGATTTGTTGTTGTTTTTCATGTTGTTGTTGTTTTTTTTTATCGTCTATCAGCAAAGAAATAAGGTGGGAAATTGCAAGAGAATATGGTGTTGTAGCCTATTCCTTAGAGCAGATGGCAGCTCTTAAACAGGCTTGACAAGTCGGTAGTAAGTTTATGGTTTTGACAAGAGTTTGATGACTGGCAGCAGTCTGTTGGTAAAATACAGCTAGCTACTTTTCTCTAGAAATCTATTATCATCTCACAGTTTCCAGTTGCTAAATAAAAAAAAGAGAGAAAAAGGAAGAGTTAGCATATATAACCGGTTCTAATATCATTCTATATAGGCCTATTTTATCTTTTTCAACTCAACTTGTAACGATTATCACCAACTGTTTAATTAGTAGCAAGACCAGAGGATTTCTTACGAAATCTGTCTCTAGTTTAATAGTTTAGTTTATAGTAACGCGTCAGTGATTTATGTGCAAAACACGCCAGTCTAAACAAATAACTACGTTGTCGGCCTCTGTTTTTCAGATGAGTTTTTTTTCGTTTTCTCTTCTATTATCCTTAAATTGTGTCCTTTGTTTTGCGTTTCTTCTCACTTCTCCAGCGCTCTTTTATCTTTCCCCTCCCCAAAAAAAACTAACACCCTAAATCCTTTCCTCCACCTTCTAACCATCCCCTCCCACCCATTCCCCCCCGCCATCATTTCGTCAATAGGTGATTGTTGATCAATTTGTGAAATTTTAACTCAATTACGTAATCGCTTTTTCAAGCAAAGTCGGCCTTTTTTTTCAATTACCGACCTGTACAGAGCTACAGGTAGCTCATTTTCAATTAGATAACATTACGCTTTCAAAGGTACAAGGAATTAATTGTCAGACTAACGCCTCTCTTTCGTACAGATGACGCTGTTGTTCACTCTTTCGCTCATCCGCCAAAGAACGCCTCCTATCGGATATAGTAGGAAAATATGCTTCTATGAAACATTGGCGATTGAAAACTTAAAAGACGGGGTCTATATGAATGGAATGGAATGGAAATAAGAGCAGAGAAATGTTGAGAGAATGCAAATAATTTCAAAATGAAAACGATAGGAAATTTTCGGAAGCATTATGGAAATTAAAAAGAGTGAGAAGAGTAGTATTCTACCGAATAGTTGACCTTTAGTTTTATTTGTTTGTCTAACATGCTGTCGGGAGGAGGCAAACGCTTTTAAAGGTATATTGAATTTTCAAAAACAAACAGTTAGAGACGGTCTAACTGTTGAATTCTTTTATATCAAGAATGCCGTCGTTAGTACAACTATTTTTCGTCCAGATTCTCCTACTTTCCCTACTCTTTCGAACGGGTTTTACTGGAATTGACTGTTACGTGTGCAAGTATACTAAAAGTGGATCGACAATTCTAGGTGATTACTGTAATGACCCCTTCGTCAATCAGCCCGGCGTACAACAGCTAAAACAAATTAACGGCTCTGAAGGAGGATGTTCAACGCAGTGTTATGTAGGCATTTTTTTTTCAGTTTAGCCCGTTCACTTTTCTCTCTCTCTCTCTCTCTCTCTCTCTCTCTCTGTCTATCTCCAGCTCTCTTTCTCTCCGTTTCTCACGTCCATTTTTTGGTGTTTTCTCCCTTTAGAAACTTGAACAGACCCAGGGTGTACATGAAGTTCTCACTAGAGGATGTTGGAACAGTACTGTTATGGGTATAAAGTCGGAAAATTGCGTTTCAGGGTCGAGAGGAGGCGATGGGGCTTTAACTGGTAAAATAAGTTGTTGTGAAACTGACTTGTGCAATAGATCGTCGAATTTACAATTCACCGTGTATCTTTTCTTCCCTATACTCTTTTTGATCTTTCAGAAATAACTCCTCTAACCTTTTCTATATTTTAAAGTCGAAAAAACAGAGAGAAAGGAAGAGTAGTATGGAAAATATTGAATAAGCAAATGAATAGAGGTATTGCTAATCTTTTCTCTTTTTCCTTGCATTTTGAACGCCATTTTGAAATTAAAATAAAGAGATAATATGATAACTAGAGGAAAAAAATAGCGTAATACTGCTAAAAGAAATATTCATTGAACCGTATCGTTTGTACTCACTTTACGTAATAATAATAATCCATCTATACAATACAATTATTTAGTACTGAATCCGTATATAAATTGACTGTTTCCCTTTTATATACTATTGACAGAGAAGCATGCTCATTATGGGTCTTCTATTCTCACTCAATCACTCACTCACTCTCTCTCTCTACCTCTCTCTCTGGCTCTTCCTCGTCATAGAGACACATTTCTTTATTCTTGCTCTATTCCCACCGTCGCTCTCTATTTAACTGTTTTTTAGTATTAGTCGAATAATTGAAAAAGATTTATAGGCTGTCGTCTTGTAGGAGCAGAGGGCGGGCGGGGCGGTGGCAAGGAAAGTCTCTTTAATCCTTGTATTGTTTATCGTTTGGTTGATATACAGTATAGCGATGGATTTTTAAGTTGTTGTCCCTATCTAATCCCGTATTTTTTCTTCTATCGTTCTTTCCTAAAATATAGTCCTACTAGGTATATTTTACCTATAGTAGATTGTTAAATATACAAATGAAAGAGTGTATTGTTAACTCGAGACCAAGTGATTACCCTTCTTCCCATAGCGGGCCTTTAATGAAAAAAATCATGTCTCTTCGTCTCCACTATGCTGCCCTACATAACTTGCCCATAGTCTATTTTACAATATAGTGTATAAAGAAAGGTAATAAAGAAAGGTACAATGTCAGTGTTGGTGCTATTGGGAAAGGAGAAAAAAAAACACGTACGGAGAAAATCTCCGATAAGTCTAGCAAAATTTTATTTTTCCAAAAGAAGACGTTGAATTGAATTTTGTGTTGATTTTGTTTTGTCCTGTTTTGTTTTTTTTTGTTTTTTGTTCAATAGTTGGTTTTGTTTCGTTCCAAAAGATACAACCATCTTATTAAAATCATAATTAAAAAAAATAAAATAAAACGATGATCTACTGGCTGTGTATAATTTCTAGGTTAAGCACATTCTGCGTAAAACTATCATCAGAGTAACATTACATTGGTTGAGTTTCAGAAGGCACATCCGGCTGATCGTGGCGCAATACCCCCTTTTTCAACATTCTACTATCAAATGATGCCTCACTTCTTACAGACGATCTGTTCGTCTCGACTGAAGTTTGAGAGACGGTATCGTCAGCCTGACCCATCGATCTATTCTTTCTCCACCTAATTAATCGTTTTACTCCTAGCATAGACGCCATATTAATGAGGACTGCAGCCACTGCTGCTGATACGGCAATTAGAACTATAGTGCCAGAGCCAAATGAGGAAGAAGATTCTCCAGTCGGGTCTGCAGCTGCTCCTTGTGCTGCTGCACCCGCGGCTCTTCTAGTACAGGAATAGCTGCCTGGAGTGTTAACGCACGTCAAAGAACCACATATTTGACTATTGCATTCGTTGATATCTATTATGAGGGACAGAAAAGTTGAGTATTAGACACAATCAGAGAGGAACAATACGATTAATTCTCAGTCGCAAAGAATCTATATTGGTGGTTGGAAAATTCTTACCAACGCAAGTATGTCCATTTGGAGCTAATCTATATCCGTTTTCGCATTGGCATAAATAGCTTCCTACGGTGTTTCTACAAGAGTGCATACAACCTCCATTTCTCACGGAACATTCATCAATATCTGTTTTTGAAAACAAACAAATAAATAAACTAAATTTCTGCAGTTGAAGTTGAATTTGCTGAATTCATTGATAATTTATTATCGCTGCCGGTGTGTATCTTACCTTCGCAAGAGGTACCGTCAAGTGGTAGCACTTGGCCGTTGCTTAATCTACATTGACATCTGTAACCTGTTTGAGGAGTTTCGAAACAACTCAAATTCTCTACGGCGCAATTTATAGGTAGTGGAACCAATTTATATCCAGCTTCGCACATACAGCAATAACCGTCGTACGTATCCATACATATCTGTTGGCAACCTCCGTTGCTTCTTAAACACTCGTTAATAACTGGGAAAATTCCACCGGGTGAACCATTGTCACCCCGTGGACCTGGTGCTCCCCTATCTCCTGGAGGGCCGGCTCCTCCTTGCTGACCAATAGGACCCGGCTGTCCAGTGTTACCTTCTGGACCACGAGGACCTAGACAAAGGTAATTTTATTTTTAGATATAAATGTTCAATTAGCCGCTTGTATCTCTTATCTTTTTTGGAAAGATGATACTTCATTATCAAAATTCTTACCAACAGGTCCTTGCAATCCTTGTGGACCGATCAATCCGGTGAAACCTTGTGGGCCGATATTTCCTTGTATACCTGGTGGACCTTGTACACCTGGCGGGCCTATATCACCTTTAGCCCCTGCCGGACCTGCACCTCCTCTAATGCCTGGAAGTCCCTGTCTACCGCGGGGACCTTCAGAGCCGTCCTGCCCTGGTACTCCAGCAAGTCCTGTTGCTCCTTGAGGACCGGCGTTACCTTGTAAACCTCTTGGTCCTCTTGCGCCAGTTGAACCAACGCTTCCCCTCGAACCTTGGGGACCTCTAGCGCCAACTTGTCCTTGAGGGCCGGTTGGTCCTCTGCCTCCGCGTGGTCCAGTCTCTCCTCTTAATCCTGGTAACCCTTGGACACCCTGAAGACCTATATATTTTGGGAAAAAACATTTTAAATCCATGTTCTCACAACTCAACAACATTTTCCTCTACCTTGAAGTCCTGGCAGACCTCTTGCACCAGTAGCACCTGGACCTCCAGAACGTCCTTGTTCACCAGTGCTTCCTTGGGGGCCAGGCAGACCAATATCCCCTCGAGGACCAGTTTGGCCAGGCAAACCTTGAGGACCTCGAGGCCCTTGAGCACCAACTGGACCCTCTTTACCTGGTGGCCCGGATAATCCAGGTTGACCAGCTTGACCTCTTAAACCTGTCGAACCACGAGGTCCTTGCGGTCCAGCTGGACCGCTTGGCCCTCTCGGTCCAGGTGCTCCTGAGGCTCCCATTGCACCGGCTGGTCCAGGAATACCTTGCACTCCTTGACCACCAACCTGTCCAAGTGGTCCAACATCTCCAGTAGCGCCTGGAGCTCCTCTTGGTCCACTCAAACCTGGTAAACCTGGAGCTCCTTGAATTCCTGGAACTCCATCTGATCCTGTGCTGCCTTGGCCGCCCTCTAATCCTGGAATACCCTGAGGTCCCGGGATACCTGGAGAACCAGTTGCTCCCGCTGGTCCCGCTTGACCAGATAATCCAACTAAACCTTGCTGTCCTCTTAAACCGGTTGCTCCGGGTAAACCAATTGGTCCTGGATTACCAGCAATACCTTGTATACCTTGATTACCAGGTAAACCTGTGCTGCCTTGGACACCAGGTGGTCCCTGATTTCCTTGGCGTCCTCTCTCACCAGTCCAACCTCGAGGTCCAATAGGTCCGACAGGACCTCTCACACCATCAGGGCCACGTAAACCTTGTGGTCCTGGTAGTCCATTATCTCCAGTTGCGCCAATCAGACCACGAGGGCCAGTTTCTCCCGGTCGGCCATTTGGACCTACGGGACCCTCTGGGCCAGGCGGACCTCTAATTCCTGTAGCTCCAAGTGGACCTTCTGGTCCAACTGGACCTGGTAGGCCTGCAATACCTGGTGGGCCTTCATTTCCTGCTGGACCAGGCCGTCCTGGTGGACCCTGGTCACCAACCGGTCCTGGAAGACCATCAACACCCCTTGGTCCTGTAGCTCCAATTATTCCCGAACCGGATACATCGGTTTTGACCTTTTGGAAGCATCTCGCACCTTTCTTAAGGCAAAGAACGTAATCGCCTGTAGTAGGTGAAGGTGTAGGAACAGGAGATGGGACAGGGACGGGTACGGGAACTGGTACTGGTACTGGTACGGGTACAGGCACAGGTACAGGTACAGGTACAGGTACAGGTACAGGTACAGGTACAGGTACAGGCACAGGTACAGGTACAGGTACAGGTACAGGTACAGGTACAGGCACTGGTACTGGAACTGGAACTGGAACTGGTACTGGTACAGGAACAGGTACAGGAACAGGAACAGGAACAGGAACAGGTACAGGTACAGGTACAGGTACAGGAACAGGTACGGGTACAGGTACAGGCACAGGCACAGGTACGGGTACAGGTACTGGCACTGGTACTGGTACAGGTACAGGAACTGGAACTGGTACTGGAACAGGTACTGGAACTGGTACAGGCACCGGAACTGGCGTATTTGGTCTAGGAGGTGGGTTAGAATTATCAGTGGCAGCACCGCAGCTGCCTGTGCCCCAAGACAAAGCATCTAATGCAATTTCAGAGAAAATTCCACCATTCCATGAAACTACAACAAAGTATTCAGTTCCAGCAGGCATGTTAACGCAGGCATCATACCACCTTCTTTCACCAATATAATTGTTTACTGTTAAAATAAAAGGCATTAGTATAGACTGTGAAGTCGCTTGAAATAATTACCATGTCGTTGTCTAGACCAAACAGTTGATCTAGTTGTTCCACCATTTGAGATTGCCCAAATTTCCATTCTTCCGATATTCTGTCCATAAATATAATAGAAAAAGTTGAAAAAAGAGGCTCCGGATTGAATTAATGTAGGGGAACGGAATGCTCCAATGGAATCAACACTAAAACTTCTAAAGTCGGTGGCCAAGTAGTATCCCAAACCTTCAATCAGTGAAAAATTATGTTATATTGCGAAAGGTTAATGCTATTTCAGCTTAATAAAAACCTGGATTATAAGGAGAACCTCCGTTATTTGGACCAGTTCCCAACTGATATACGTCGGATCTTTGATTGGTCCAACGCCAAATGTTAGCGAAGTTGTAATTTTGGCTATTGAAAGTGGCCGATGTGAGAGCACTAAATCCAGATTGCCAGAGTGAAGATGTTCCGGGATAGTAGTTAGCGGTTGCTCCTTGAGATGTCAACTCAGAACTGCATCTTCCTCTTGTTACCATAACATCGTCCAAAGCAAATTCACTGTCTGCACCTCTCATCGTAACTGAAAATCTCAACGTTCTAACGTTCCTGTTGTTCCAGGTATTTCTAAAGATATACCATTCTCTATTACCACGGAAGCCATTTTGGTCTAAAATCCACAGATAATGAGGATGTGAAAAAGGGATGAAATTGAAAAGGTTAAAAGGAGAAAAGTAGCTAAAAAGAAAAACTTACGGCCATCTCTAGAAAAAATGGTAAATTGATTAACTCCATCGTTGCCAATAACTTGAAAAGTTCCGAAATCCCTTCCAAAGGTATTGAAGTAAAACGATAGACAAAAGTTGTTCTCAGGCTGGTTGTTGTTAATATTAAAAGTCAAAGTTGCCGTAGCTAGACTAGTACCTGAGCCTGGATACGTTGTGTAGGCGTAGAAGTTACCTATTGTAGTAAATAAACCGCCAATGCAAATATCTATATAATTATTGAAAGATTTTAGTTTTCTTACCTCCTTGACCACCTGGTCTTGTATTTGAAACAGGTCCTGTCCCAGATCTACCCTCATCTGATCCAAACCTGCCAACGGACCAATAAATTCGACTATTGTCAATTTGAGGGCAAAAGTTTCCATTTTCAAAATTACAGTTAAACAGTTGTTGCGCTCCTGCAAAAAAGAGTCGGTAAAAACACGAACAAACTATCGCTGTCTCTTTATGCAATCACTAAAAAAGAAGAGGAAAACGAGAAAGCCGGCTAAAAAGTTTAAAGAGAGAAAAAAGAGTGTTGGTTTTTTTTTAAGTGAAAGGTTAGGAGAGGCGACACGATTAAAAAAAGAAGGAAATCAATTAAGAGAAAGGTAAAGAATAGAAAGCATTTAAAAGTAATTACATTACCTGTCGAACTTATGAGGAAAGCAAAAATTGCAAAGCGAAACATGATTCGACACTGAGCGCTCGACAACCGCCACGCCCGGAGTGCAGGGGCGACTTCAATACCGTCTCTCTCGGCTTAAAAGGCCCTTAAAAATTCATCATGCGTGAAGTATTGAACTGAGCTCAGTCGGTCGTAGACTAGCATTCAATTTTAAGTCATTCTATTTTGCTATATTCGTGAATGCTATATTTACACGTCTCTCTACTGTATTCCTTTATCTGTCTACGTCACAAAAGTTTATATTGCCATACTATATTTAATTTTCGAGCGTTAAAAAGACTAAAGGTCTAGATTTCGACGTCATATCTCGCCTACACTACCCCTAGATCATTTTAGAATAGTCATTTGAATATTGTGCATAAATTACACTTGTTTAACTAGGGAAACACTGTACGCCCCTTTAAGTCTAAAATCCTATATTTACTTGCACTGTAGCTTGTTCAACTGGGCGAATAATAAGTTATTGTATTTCGTCCATCGATTTTTGGATCATTCTTTTTCTTTTTAAAGCTAACGAGAAAACTTAATCATCGCAATCTAATTATAAAATTCTCTTGCTGTTTTTTTTTACTATTCTGCAAGAGCATGTCCTTCCGAATCCCTTCTCTTCCTCTTCCTCTTCCTCCTCTTCCCCCCCATACGAGAATGCGTCTTCTCTCTATACAGTCAGCCATACGTCGGTCCGTTCTTCTATCCCTCCTATCCATTTTCCCTCGCCCTCTGTGCTCTTCCTAATCTCAATCTTTTCCTTTGTTCATTTTAACACCGCAAGTGCTATATAATATTTCAAACTTATTAAGTTCACCTCCCTCCCCCTATCGCAACTACTCCTACAACAATACGTAGCCTTCTTTGGCCGACTTCTTTTGTTGACCCCCAACCTACGCATAACCTTAAAAAAAACTAGGCTCTACCCTGGTGGGGAAACAATCAAGCCTAAATTAATAAAGAGAGAGAAAAAAAGGGAGTATGCACCATTTAAACAAATCTGTATTTAATATGTATGTAGACTGGCTTTTTCTTTTTCGTTCAAACAAGACTGTTTTCTTTTTATGTCTTTTTTTCAGCCTAGATACACAAACAAGTACATTTGGATATAAAATGTTTATAACTGAAAGTAGAGTTTGTCAACGGCACTTTATTTTTAAATATTCCTCTTTTAAACCCGTAAAATAAATTTCCCTTAGAAAAAAAAAACAATACAATTGTCATAAATTGCATCATCATCTTTTTCCTTTGTCAGCCTATTGCTTCTATATATTTTTTCTTTTACAGCTTGTCGATCTCTGGGAAAATCATAGTTTCATTTTTAGAAGAGATCAATTGATTCTTGCATAGGCAGAATTCTTTCAATTTTTTTCGAACGCAATATGATTGATTCTTGTATAAATTCAATCTGGAAATGTGTTCCGTAGCTTTACAGGTAGTCAATTTCTTACCTTTGCAGCTTACGTGAGCCTCAAACACGGCCTGGCTTGGTGAAACGCTTATAACTAAATTCAACTTGACCTCTTTCAACTTCCCAGCGATCTTCTCTTTAGCTTTTGAACTCTTGAACAACTTTGTAGCGTTTTCTTTGTCGATTAGGAGCGAAGCACTCTTTACAGTTTCCAATGATAATCTCACGCATTTTCCCTTTTCCTTCTTCTCCAAAAGATCATTTATAAAAGTTATGATTGCTTGCGCTGCTGTCTTTACTTCATTCAAGTCAGGACTAATCTTGATCGAATTTTGACATATACAGAATTCTTCGCTCACATTAGCGGCCTTGCAATCTCTCTTTCTAGGTATTTCGGAAAAAGGACTTATAGCTCTATTGCTTGAATCAAGCTCTCTATCGGCTTCGTTTCCTCGAAAGTGTAGTACGTCAAGGAGCATCTGGTGTAAATCGAAAAAGGTCATTAACCTCTCAGAGTTTTCTTCTAAATTGGCAATATGCCGGGGATATTTCTTCCTAAACCACGGGGGAAAGGCTACATACATGGCCGGCATCATATCTTCAAACCATCCGAATTGCGACGATCTAACGTATCCCCATCTAGGGCCGTGATCACCCATAACAATGAGAAGAGTATTGTTTAGGACACCTTTGTAATAATTATTCGTAATAAAATCCCAGTAGAGATCCTTGACTCTTGACAATCCATTATTATTGTCGTGAGTAACCTGCGTACCGAATACGAAAGCAAAGTATTTCTCATCTTTAAACTTGTTAATGAATTCATTAGTGTAATCTACGATTCTTTTACTCTTTAGCTTGTTTCCAGCACAAAGGTCGTAATTAGCCTTTTCACTGGCAATAGCAAGTGGCCTGGCGGGGGTTAACACAGAAAGTTTCTTATTTAAATAGAATGCAAAGCAATAAGAATATTATATCGTATATATACAGAATATGTATATACTATATATATCTGAGTGTGCTGCGTATATGAATTCAATGAACTATTGCATTAGCTGTGCATCTTAATGATTTTTTCCTTCAACTTTCTCCATTAAAGAGAGAATTCGAGTAGCACGTGTTGAATATCATTTCAGTGGATATAATTAATAAAATATTAACCGTTATAGTATCTAGTCTTCAACATTTCTCTAGTCGTTTTGTTACAATCAATTAATTATTAATCAATCTATCTAATTAGTGTTTAGTGGAAAAACATCTTACTTTTCGTATCTGTTTAATTGTGATTCGAGTAATTATTTACTATAATAAGAACAGTGAATGTAGATTCTGTGTGAATTGTGCATGAATGTATAACTTAAATATCCATTTATCTCTCTATATATACTATATAATCAAGTGTAAATATATTGTATAAATAAAACTTAAACTCAACTCTCCTACGCATCTAGCTAATAGAAGGATGGTTAGGAGAATTCTTAGTAAATAAAAAAATGCACTGATTTATCATTTATTTATTGTCAGGTTAGCCCTTAACCCTAACCCTAATATACATCTATATATACTATATATACAATATATTCAACATTTACTCCATCTATCTGGCCAGCTAGCCATCTATCAATTTTCCAATCTGTAACTGTACTTATTGACGTGAACACTACAGTGTTTTTAGGGCTACGCTACTTTAAACAAAAAGCTGTCTTGTTTTTTACCTGTAGTAGTAATCGGTTGGCGGGTTTCGGAAGCCTCTCGTTAAATAGTTAAATGTAGCCATGTAGTAAGCGTCCTCCGCCATAAGAGTAAAATAGCCCAATTTTGAATATTCTTTCCATATAAAATTGTCAATTTCGTCGTCATAGAAACGTCTGCTAAACGGCGACGACTCATTGACAAACTTTCTTTCTATCTCTCTTAGATAACTCCCAGTCATTAACGGCATTATGTTTACCACAGTGTTCTTTTGAACCTTATTAAATCTTTTCATCTCTACCGCCTTCATTTCGTCTTTAAGAAAACTGCGTAATTTGGGCATATGCCTAACGAAATTACCTCTAGACGTTGAATCCATGCCAACTATAAGAACGTTCAATTTGTCCTTGGAGTTTTTCTCATCTTTCGGAATGACCTTAATCCCTTTGTTCTTTTTTATAATTTGGGCGTGATAATCAGTATGGAAAACGCTTCCAGATTTATTGAAACATTTCACCCTGATAAATTCAAAGGGGATTTTCAATGAATCAGTAAGATTCCTATAGAATATATAATCATTGTAAGATTCTGCCTTTCTTACTATTTGGCTAACTGAACAATTGAAATCGATTGCTATCTTCTTGTTGACGAATGTATTGATGTCCGTTTCGTTGTATCTAAGTATGCCATCGACAAGGTAGGTCATATGTAAACCTTTGCACTTGTAATTACCCAAATCTTTATAGCGTCTGTAGAGAGAAGGATGAAAGAAATCGATAAATGGAAATTTGCACCCATCCTCTTCAATTTTGGTGGACTGCGATTTGGTTGGGGTCATTGTTGAACCTTTTCCCAACTTGGCAATTGTCGTATGATAATCGGAATATTTGTTCCAGCATCTCACATCGTAAAAGTTGTTCCTCATATGAAATTTCTTCTCTGGACCATTGAATACAAGTCGATGAGTTTCGGCTGATAAATACACTGTATTATCTTTGAAATTTCTATATATCTCGGTAAATGTACAATCGAATCTTTTCAAATTTCTTAGAGCTTCTACTTTCGCTTGAACAGTAGAATTGTTTATCAATAACCATTCGCCCATGTAACAAACTTTAGAATTGTCTAGAATATTCAATGTGTCAAAATTGAAGCTGGATCCAATGGATAAGTTTTTAAAGGCATAGTAAAAAACTATAAAAGAAAGACAAAGACTTAAAGCTAAAGTTCCTTTCGTCAAATACATCATGTAATTGATTGTTTATCCGTACATCACAATGTTTTATGGATAGATAAGGCAAATATGTAAAGAGTAATTGTTGTTTAATGTTCAGTTTGTTTAGAATTAAATGAGTCTCCTATTTCAGTTCTTTTTCTTACAATTATGCTTATTTGTTCTCTCTTTCCCTATCTCCCTCTTTCTCCCTCTCTGTTTCCCTCTCTGTTTCCCTCTCTCTCTCTCTCTCTCTCTCTCTCTCTCTCTCTCTCTCTCTCTCTCTCTCTCTCTCTCTCTCTCTCTCTATCCTTATCTTTCACCGTAACAACCGAGATTCTAAAATAAAGTTTCCTGGTGTCTTTCTCGTTTCATAAAAGTTGAACTTTTGTGAATGAATTTAATAATCTTTCTCTTTTATATCCGATATAAGCAGATGGCATTTATCGAATTTTTTTTTCATAATTAGCCGTCTCTAAAAATTTAGTTTGTACAAATATGTGTATTCAGTTATTTACATTATATATAAGTTTCACTAAGGAGAATCTCATTTAAATTTTTTCTTATTTATCCATCCATTCGTTCATTCATTCATTTCTAATCTATACATTTTTAACGCGCTCCGCCGCTGAGTAGGCTCAATACCTGTAATAGCTAGCAAACACTTTTCTCTCATTAACATATTCTCTCAATTTTTATCCTTCCAGTCCTCTCCTTCTCCTCCTCCTCTCTCATTCTCTCTCTAAGCCTTCCCCAATCCTCTTCCTACTTCTTTCCTCTCTTAATTTTTTGGGCAATATTTTTATACTAATGACTACCAACTTTCTACTCATTGTCCTCATCTCATCAACCGATATTTACGAAACAAAATTACTGGCAAGAGGTTTGACTTTTCCCTTTTTAAGAAATTTTTAATGGTTTTTCTTTCTTCAAAGATAAAATTTAACGAGAATTTCGTCTTTTCCTTTCATTTAGCTGATCGTCAAAGTTGCGCTGTGAATCTCTTTCCCTATTCTTTTTGGTTTATGACTGCTTCATTATTAACATTGCCATCCTACTCCTTCTCGTTGCCTCCCTCGTCTAATCAACCCTCTATACCATTCGTAAAATACTATGAACAGTTCAATTATCGAATAAACATCAAAGACCGATTGAAAAGATCTACTAAAGAGGATGACGTAATTGAATGGAATTTCAAAGCCCATCAAAGGTTTTGTAAATATTTTTTATTAGTAAACAAAAACGGAAGAAACTCTTTTAACTAAACGTTGAGGATGATAAAGGAAAATGTTTTAGACGCTTCAACCTTGTACTGAAAAGGGACGCCAACTTGTTTACTCCCGACGCCTCGTTCGAAACGTCTAAAGGAAAATTTACGTTCAACAAGCCGAGATTCTATCGGGGTCACGTCTTGGGAGATAATGATTCAGTCGCCTATGGAATTGTTTCGGACGACGGAATTTTCCAAGGTAAAATCCAAAGGGGTAAAGACATCTTTTCAATAGAGAAGCAGGATTCTCCGTCCACACCCATGATCATCTATAAGGAAGCCGATATAGAAGCAAGCCTCTTTGATAGGACTAGTCTCTCTCGACTAAAACTAGTTGGCCACTCTAAAGGTTGTCTTTATTGGCTTATTTTCTTTTTTTTGAAAAGTAATAATCATAAAAAAATGCCTTCACGCTTTCCTTGTGCAGCAAAGAGAGAAAATAGAGGAAACGCAAGGAGAAAGAGGGCAGTGAACCCTCGTAAAACAACTTGTACTCTATTCCTGCAGGCCGATCATCTATTCTACGAAAGATATAACGATATCGGAAGTGTTTTACAACAGCTAACACATCATGTTCAAACTCTGAATGAAATCTTTAATCCTATCGATTTCGATGGTAACGGCTTACCAGATAACATTGGTTTCGTCATAAAAAAGATTAAAATTAATACGGATAAGAATGATAAAAAATATAAATTCCCCGATAATTACGGTGTAGAACGCTTTCTGGAAATGTTCTCTGAGGAGAATTTCGACGACTACTGCCTAGCTTATATGTTTACAAGAAGGGATTTTGAAAAGGGAACCCTTGGACTAGCCTGGACGGGCGACTGGGAAAATGCTGGAGGGATATGCGAAAAGTACGACGTATGTAATAAATAATAATAACAGTAATAATAATAAAAAACAGACGTTGCTTTCTTCTTCTTCTTCTTCTTCTTCTTCTTTACAATCCTGCCTTATTTTCTTTTATTGCTTATTAATAAAAAGACAGTTTTTACAACTTTCTTTTCATCCTCCCCAAAAGGTCTTTCACGGAAGCCGAAAGAGTTTAAACACCGGCGTTATTACTACTTTCAACTATGGTAAGGACGTTCCCAGTATAGTTAGTCATATGACATTTGCACACGAAATTGGGCACAGTATGGGTTCAAATCACGATCCAGAAACGTCAGTTTGTAGTCCAGGAGGAGTAGAAGGAACCTACCTTATGTATTCAATAGCAGTTTGGGCAAATAAACCTAATAATAAAAAATTCAGGTAGACGAAAATAAAGAACGAACGAACGAATGAATGAATGAATGAATGAATGAATGAATGAATGAATTTTATACTCAATTTATGAGGTGGGAAGAAGGGGAAGAAAGATTCCTTATAATCATTATCGTAAAATTCTATCTGTACTTTGCATCTTTTAAATAATAATGTATATTCTACAGCAAGTGCAGTACGGAAAGTATGTCAAAAATTATAAACATAAAAGCGAAACACGATATTTATGGATGTTTTATAGGTGACAGCAGTTGAATATTTAATGATTAATTAGTAATGCAAGCTGTATGACCGTCCAGAAAATAAAATAGCCATCTGCGGTAATTCTCTTGTCGAAGAAGATGAAGAATGCGACTGCGGATGGAAAGATAATTGTCGCGAACAGTGTTGCTATCCCCAAATTTCTCATCCGCCTCCATCTTATAAGGCATGCCGATTGAAAAACGGTGCGACATGTAGTCCTAGCGCGGGTAGTTGCTGTTCAAACAGTTGTCGACCGTATGAAAAGACGGAAGAGATAATCTGCAGTCCTGCAAGCCGTTGTCAAGAAAAGAGGCTTTGCGACGGAAATTCAATCAGCTGTCCATCTCCCCTCTATAAACCGAATAACACTCTTTGCGATACCGATTTGGTATGTCAACAAGGCAAATGTTCAGCCTCAATATGTCTAGCGTATAATTTGGAGCCGTGTCTTTGCGAACAACCTCTTCACCATTGCCACGTTTGTTGCCAGAAACTGGGTCAATCTTCAACGTGTAAATCATCTTTTAGCTGGAACGAATCACCTACAAATCTACCTAATCTACTCGCCCGACCAGGTTCACCTTGCGCCAATTACAAAGGCTATTGCGACGTTTTTCATAAATGTCGTTCAGTCGACGAGGAGAGTTCTTTAAACGTTTTAAGAAATTTTTTGTCTCCCAGTCCAATAAGTTTGACTATGAAGGAATGGATTGTTGAAAAGTGGTATTTAGTGTTGATAATGGCTATTTCGTTGATAATCATTTTGGTAAGTTTCTGCATAAGAGAGGGAGAACGAGGGGGAAACTTGTGGGAGGGAGATAGAGAGAGAGAGAGAGAGAAAGACAAGATAAAAAGAATATATTAAATCTCGAATCTCTTAAAATTAAAAAAAAAATATGTTTAAGGAAAATTAAACATATTTTTTTATTCTTCACGAATCTTAACAATAAAACTCTTGTATTGAATTTTCTTCTTTATATTTCTCTTCTTCTTCTTCTTCTTCTTCCTCTTTTTCTCTTTCTTTTTCTAGAAAAAACTTAATTTTAATTTAATTAACTAAACAATATCCTATTTATCTACAACAAAAGCAGGCTATCTTTATGAGAATTTGTAAAGCGAGAAAGACAGCACTGAAATTGAAAAATAAACCACCAACTACTTGGGCCAAGAGAAGAGCCAATAGAGTCGGACCAAAGACCCTGAATAGAGACCTTGCTTAATGGTTCTTAAAGATTTTCATTAAAATATTTCAGTGATTTATTAAAAGAAAGAAAGATAAATTGATAGAAAGGTAAGTAGACGGGTGAATAGAGAGAAAAGGAATAGCAATACATCAATATACTGTATACTGCTCATCTCAATTTATGCATGTGCTTCGTCTATAAATGTTTTTTTAATCGCTCGACTAAAGTATTTATTGGAAATACACTTGATATTAATTCTAAGCAATGCACCAAGCTTTGCCTTCCCGTCGCGACATCTATCGTAAAAAAGTCGCTCTACAATCATTTCTATTTTGTCCAAAAGATGGAGCTACTTCTTCGTTGAGACGTGTATGTGTGATAAGATGGCGCCAGCGGTAAAGGTTTCGGTCAGTGTGGTATAGAGTTTACTTTGTTGGGGTAAACTCTAACCCTTTATAACCTTAAGCGGCGTTAGAGATTAGATTCGGGTAAATAGACTGACTAAAAGTGAGACTTTGTAACTTAGTCACAAAGCAAAGTTGACTTTTTCTATGCCGCCTTAACAAGCTATTTTACCTATATTGCCTTTGATTCAAGTCTGAAAGAGTAGAGCTAAATGGATTAAGCCATTTCGTTAAGACGAAAGTCAATAAGATATTAAAAAAATCTCAAGGAAACGTCATAATAGAGAAATAGAATTAAAAAAAGCCTCTATTATTCTTGCTGTGTGTGTGTGTGTGTGTGTGTGTATGCGTCTTTCCCTTTTCTCTGTCTCTCTACCTACCTGCCTGCCTACCTTGTAAATCTCCTCCTTGTCTACCTTCCTTTCCCCACCTTTCCCTCTTTCCTCCGTTCATTATGAGCTAAAAAAAACTAGCCTATTGCCATCTGATCCCATAGATGGCGTGATGTTTTATAGAAATTGCATAAGTGCGATATAATTAAAAAGTACCGTATATAAGGTTGAATGTGAAATGGAAAATGTGGAAAGTGATAGAAAGGGAGAGAGGAATGGAGAGAGAGAGAGAGAGAAGAAAAGAGATAAAAACCATAAATAACAAGTTTATTAACAAGTTAAAAACGTTAAAAAAAATAACCTAAAAAAAGCAAAGAGAACGGGGAATGCAATGCACAAATAAAGAGAGAAAGTAAATGATCGAGTCAATTATACTCAATAACGAGCGTTAAATAGTCGTAAACTACCGTTTTTCTCGGTTGGAAGGAAATCTCGTTAGATCTATGAGAAATTTTCACCTGTTCAAAAAAAAAGGAAACCCCCAACGAATAAAAAAGCCCGAGGAGGAAACTAGTAGGAGGGAGGTGGGAGGGAGAAAAAAGGGAAATAGAAAAGGGTAGCGAATCAGAGTTACTCGATTCTTCCCAATATTTAAATAAAACTTTTCAAAAGCATCGTGCCGAAAAACACGGTGATGACAGGGAAGCAATAGTTAATTTCATACCCCGCAGTGAGCTGTATACCGAGTGCGCGGATCATAAAAATAACGCCAAACAACAAGATGGCGATGATTGCGGATACAAAAAAAAATCCGTCAAAGAACGTTTCGCTATAGATTAGTGTCTTAAACCCAGTACGCTTCAATAGATTTTTGCTTCTTTATAATTGTCAAAGAAGAAAGATTAGACGCTTTTATAGCCCAAATAATACCTCCCAGTTCCTTTCTTTGAATATAGAGAGTGAAATTGTTAATGGTATATTACGACCTGTTAATTAGTACGTATCAGCCTCAACTCTTTTCTTTTCGCACATTCCCTTTATTTTCCTACTTTGCCAGTTGGGTCTGCCACTTCTTTTATTATGTTTTACTTCAATGCTAACGGACAGAATTATTAAGTATTTGGCGATAAACTATATTTTCTTTTTTCCTTTCTTTCCTTTTTTTGCGTCTCTCTCTTCTTCTTCTTCTTCTTTACCTTTTTTTTCTTGCCGATACTGCAGTAGTATCAATCTGTCCAGCTTTTTCGATTTAGTCCATCTCTTTTTGTTTTTTTCTCTTAAGCTAAGCGTTTCTCACACTACGAAAATATTCTTGATAGAATTCAAAGTATTCCCTCCGCTAATTACGTCTACTAACTTTTATGTTTGCTCGTTTCCGAGTAAAGGTTACTGGAAGGAAGTGAATCTATTCTCACCTTTTATTCAAGCCGCTACCTTCTCTTTTTCTATTCTTTCACTCGCTTCTACCCATCTCCTTCCCATTCATTCTCCTATTCTCTACGTCTCCTATTCTAAAAGTCCCCCTGTCTATATAAGTCAGCCTGACTAACTGACTCTCTCTCTCTCTCTCTCTCTCTCTCTCGTTCCTTACCCAATAAGGAAACCTATCGCAAAAGAGTATTTAATAGGCATTAGACTGTATGCATAGATCATGAATAATGTCTCATGTCGTTCTTCTCATGGTGAGGATCAATTAAAGATGCTTGAAAAAGAAAGTGTCGAAACAAACATATAGGCCTCCCACAAAGAGGTAAATTTTAAGACAGATGGCGCCTAGCCTATATACAGCTTATAATTTCAGAGCGCCCGGCGAAATTTAGCTGCCGGCGTCTCGTTTGAAGATCTTTTCCACAGCCGCTCTCCGACGCCTTTACAACACGAGAGCGCAATTAGGCGGTCACGTGACCAAGAATTAGCTTGATAATCGCCCTCTAGGCCTGTGCAGAGAATAAGGCGTTAACGAAGAAGATGAAAACTAGTGGTACCTCATGTTCCGTATTTTAACGCATTACACTCCAATTTTTTTTCTGCCTTCGCTGAAAGATTTTTCTAGTAAATCGAAGCGGCGTTTTTGTTATTAATACTTGAAAAATGTCTATTATTTAGTGTCTATAAATAACGTATGACCCAAATCGGAATTTTGACTTTTTTCCTCAAATAATATTCGATAATGGCTCTACCCTATGACGTCGTTTTTACATCTCAACTTCTTTCGTCGCCTCTAATTACACCTATTTGATTTTTTTTATAATGGTCTCGTGGCAAAAGTGTTTATTTCAACTTACCGCGATGGCGATCCACCCACCAAGTAGGAAGAAGGGAGAAGGTGGAGGGCAGCGATTTGGGAGGGAGAGGAAGAGAGAGGAGATGGCGTCATACGACGAAATGTTGGCTAGGTAATTGCCCTCTAGGCCAGTAGCAGAAAAGAGTTAACGACTTTAGCTGAAAATCGAATAAGGACTGATAATTTTCTTGATTTTTTTTTTTCCATCTTCTATTTTCAGTCAGTTGTATAAAGGAGCTTCAGGCGACGCTCGGCGTTGTAATTAGTCAAAAAAATCAGGAGAGAGAAAAAACATTCTAAAATTCATTGCCTCAAGGTTAAAAACGTCTAACGTATCAAAGAGAGCAAAACGGTTACGTTTACTTCGATAAGAAATTCACCGCGAATCTTCTTATCTTATCAAAACAGTCCCAGCGGGAAGAATTCGCTTATGGAACGCGTGCGCATTTTCGGGTCTCTATCTATTTCAGCATTCTTCCCACCTCTTTTCATGCCTACGAATGGAATTTTAGCCCCAATTTTAAAAGGGCGATGACCTACGGAGCATTAAATATTATCTTTACTTATACTCCGATAAATGAAACCGTCCCTGGCTTCGTGCGCAAGCTGCCACACCATCACTCAGGGGCCAAATAGTCAGTGAACAAACTATCATATAACCAACCAACCAACCGACCGGCTAAGTAACTAGCCAACGAAACCAAGCTAATCCTTACTAGATGCTCGAGCAAGGCTTCCGGGTAAAAGTAGGACAAGAGAAGAAATTATTATCGTTCTTAGGTGGCAACGTTTCATAATTAATTCCGATCTGTGATCGCTCCGAGTCACGTCCTCCTATAACAAATCCTGATTTTTTCAAGGGGCGTTTCTTAGCCGGGAAAACGCTTACGTAACCGTTAATGCGCTGACGTCAGAGATAATTGCTAAAGTGCTCTACTTATATAATCTAAAACTAGGAGGAGACTGAGTGTCACCTTTTTGATAGTTTTTTTGGTTATATTTTTTAAAATGCTTTAAAGAAAACGAACAAGATTAAAGAAAGAAAGATGAGGAAATTGAAAGAAAAGAAGACGGTAGAAAAAGGTTTATATGTTCCTTTTAGTGTTCGTTGAAGCTAAAAATTATCGGGGGCTTATGTTTGCTATGAAAACAAACGCACGTGTTTGTCGAGCAGCTTCAAAGCAGTTGTAAAAATATGGGCTTGAAAAAATTGTTCGACCCTCTTTTTAATCAATCTACACTCTGTCTAACAATTCATACGCTATTTAAATAAGACAAATATACAAAAATCCATTAAATATTCTTTAATAGAGTTTCATTTTCTCATCTCTCAACTTTTCAGCACATTTAATATTCCTGTCTGTCTATCCGTCTTTCTGTCTGTCGGTCTGTCTGTCTGTCTGTCTGTCTGTCTGTCTGTCGGTCTCCACTGTTTCTCTCTCTCTCTTTCCATACGGCAGTTTGTCAGCGTCTCTTCTCTATTTCAATCTTTCAAGTAATTGTTCATTTGCCTTCCTTTTTCAATCAAGACGCGGCAATAGACGCCCCCCAGACTTAATCTTAAATTAATGGCAAAAAATTCTTTTTTTTTTCATTCAACTGATGCTTTCGGCTTGTTTCCTCGCTATCCATTGGAGATCGATAGTATTAATTACAGACACGAGTTCTTAGGAGTCACGTGATTAATGTATATAAAAAAAAAGACATAAAGCCCATTAAGAGACGTCAAAAAGAACATCATGCCAAGCTTCTCAGTGCGCGTCTAAAAAGCGTCTGTGATGGAAACACGTTCAACTTAGCGTGCAATGTATCGACGTCTAATTAGACGTCATTTCTAGATTATATCTCTTGTTCATATTTATCAGGTTTTGCGAGAAGCGTGCAGCTTATCTTTTATTAACATTAATACATTTTCTTTTTCATGTAAATGATAAATGATGGAGAATATCTTTCTTTTTCTTTTACCTTAAAAGAAAAAGGTGTGTAAAGAAAATAAGAACGAAAATCAGAACGGAAATACGGTTTAATCAAAACATCTATTAGAAAAACCTTTACGCTCCAGTCCCGAAATGGGGTCACACAATCAGCGGTATTAATCGAAACTCGAAGCGAGGCAACTATGTCATCAAACGAAATGAAATCAATTAGGACGATAAGGCCGTTACGTCGTTTCTTAACTATTCTAACTGAACAATTATAACTGATCAGGTTATAAAAACTACAAATAAAAGTCAGCGAAAGTTGCACACTCCTCGTTTACAATAGCCCCAATAGAGTAAAAGGCGTCGGAAATCGAGGCGGCAAGTAATTAAACGTCGTTTTCACGCGTCGTTTAACCAACCGTCTATACATTCGTTAGAAAAACATCTAAGAGAAAAAAAACAAGAGAATCGTCACGTGACACTCAAGAACACTTTCCCGACGTCTATAACTCGATCGAACACCTCGCACATGGCCGGTAGTTTGCGTTCGGAATTCGGGTCAGAGGTCGTAGGAGACTTTTGTTAAACAACGCCTTTTTCCGTCTGCCTCCTTTCCGGCTGTTTTTACAAGGAGTTAACATTTTTTTCTCGTGCGATTTTATCAGATTGACGCAATTCTGACAAG